AAAAAAAAAAAAAAAAAAAAAAAAAAAAAAAAAAATACATGAACAAGCGTATCTACCTTTTCCATCACATAACCAGAGTTGGGAGTTAAACTAGAAGGGTATTGTTAGAACTGAATATACATCACTCGAGAATCGTACAGTACGTTTTGATGTCTGAATCTTCTCCTCCTTGTTCTTCAACCTAAGCTTTAGTCTGAAGAACGTAACTCCGAGCTCGAGCTGAGCAGAAGATACCTAAGACCCCGAAATCGAAGCTCACAAATGCGCTCAAGCAGAAAATCCATATCGAGATCGGCCCTTCCACCAATTCGTCTTGATATATCTTCTCCTGCTTCCCGTCAAGGTTTGCGGGATCACATCTGCTTCCGGAAGATTCCACACATACTTCCGGATTGCCTGCCAAAACGCCCGGAAACTTCCCGAGCCCTTTGTTCTCGTTAATGATTCCAGAGAAACAGTTGTGTGATAGACTCAGAAATGTCAATTCCGGGGGGGTTGAAATGTTTCCAAGGACTTGACCTGACAGAGAATTGTGTGAAAGATCTAAGGCCTTCAATCTCGGAAGGTTCTCTAGATGTGGAAGCCGACCCTCCAAGAAGTTGTAGGACAAGTTCAAGTACTCGATGTTCTTCTGTCTGAATAGAGCTTCTGGGATTTCTCCGTGTAATAGATTGTCAGATAGATCGATCCCGATCACTGACAGTAGATTGTACCCGAAGCTTAGCTCGTTTTCAGCCACCACAGCTGTTGATATTTTGATCTCGGCTTTTCCTGTTGGTTCTGCAAATCCTTCCTCTGCAGCGTCAAAGTCCTTGAAACGCGTGCTGTTCAAGTTATCGTCGGGAATGAATCCAGAGAACCTGTTGCCGGAGTAGTCGATCATTTGGAGTTTGTCAAACTTGAACAACCAAGAAGGAAGATTTCCACTGAATTTGTTCCGGGCAAGGGAGAAGTACTTCAGATTGGACCATTTGGTTATGGCGTCATTCAGATTACCCGAAAGATTGTTGGAACTGATATCCACAATCTCCAGCGACTTGAGCCCGGCCAAAGTCAGCGGGATCTCACCCGAAATCTGGTTGTTGCTTATGTCCAGAATCTTCAAACTGTCCAAAGCATCAAGCTCAGGTTGGATTTCACCCGAGATGTTGTTGTTGCTTAGCATCAAAGCAAGCAACTGAAAACATCCAACTATGTTCAGCGGGATCGAGCCTGTTAGCGCATTGTGGGAAAGATCTATCACCTGGAGATATGTTAGATTCCCGATTCTGGCCGGGATCTCTCCCGTTAGAAGATTGTGAGAGAGAAACAATGCTTGTAAACTCTTCAACTCAGTAATCTTCAATGGTATATCGCCAGAAAACCTGTTGTGAGAGAGGTCGAGAAGAACAAGACCCGATTTTTCGGTTGTTTCTGAAATCTTGCTCGGTATACGCCCTGAGAAATCATTGTGGCTCAAGTCCAACATCACCAGCTTCTCAGAAAACACAAGCCTTGGCGATATCTCATATCTCAAGCCATTGAAGGATAAGTTCAGATGTCTCAACTCTTCGAAGGAAGCCATACATGACGGTATTCCACCGACCAGAGAGTTCCCAGCCAAATTTAGAACACTCAGTGACCAACGAGAGGCCGAGAAACAAGGCAACGTACCAGAAAACTGATTCGAAGCAAGATTGAGAACAATCAAAGCCTGCTGGAAATCTCGAAGGGTGCCGGTCAAGTTATTACCTTCGAGACTCAGATGCCTCAGAGACTTCAAATACAGCAAACTCTCAGGCAATTCCCCGTGAAATGAACAGAAACCCAGATCGAGGTTCTCCAGATTCATCGAGAAATTCCCTACCCAGTGAGGAATTACACCACCCAAATCCCCATTATCGCTCATTACGAGTTCTCTCAGTTCCTTGAGCCTCACTAACGAACCAGGAATCACGCCAACGAATCTATTCCCACTGAGATTGAGTGTCCTGAGATTACGCAACGCACCGAAGCAAGACGGAATATAACCGGAGAAATTGTTCCGAGAGAAATCCAGGAACTGAAGAGAAGCGAGCTTACAGAGACTTGGGTGAAGCTCACCCGACAAGTTCATGGCGGACAAGCTGATCGAGACAACTCTACCGGCCGGATTCTGACAACTTATACCAGTCCAGTTTGAGCAGACTGAACCGTACCACGTCGATAAACTCCGATTTGGGTCTTGGATCGAGACCCTGAATATGAGGAGAGAGGCTTTCTCGTGTGGGTCCAGATCGAGAGATACGGATTGAACCAGGATCAGTGATGAGGAGGGCCAGAGGAGGAGAACGAAGACGACGAAGACGAAGAAAAGGGATACGGAGTGTAATTTCCCGGTTTTGGAAGGGCTAAATTCTTGGAACTCCATAGCCAAGGAGTGTGGAGTTACTGGAGAAAGAGAAGGTGCGAGTGAGCTCTGATAGAATTACCTAGTGGCAGTTTGAGTAAATAAAATGAATTTAAGGGGTAAATACGGATAGGGCACCAGAGAATTACATTCCGATTCTGCTATTTTTTTAGATTATTGCAAACTATTTTTCATTCAAGAAGATTCGAAGAGACGTCCAATAAGGTTAAATATCCCGCACAAAATGTCTTAAATATTAATAGAAAATATTATATTGTATACAAAATTAAGGGATAATGGTATAAAAATATCCAAATTTTTACAAAAATCTCAAATAAATACCTAAACTATAAAATTATTATATAAATACCTGAATTTTTTACAATTTCCACATAAATATTCAGATTTTTAAATTTTTTTCAAATCAAACACTCATCCATTAACGTCGTTAAATGTAACTGCTGACTCAACAAAAAACTGTTGATTCACAAAAAAAGCTTTGGCTCAACAAAAAAACTGTTCATTCTGCATTCAAAAATATTATGAAATATCCAAATGTTCATCTATATATATTTAAATTAATATATACATATAAATTCACATATATATACAAATATATATATATATATATATATATATATATATATATATATTAAAAATAAAAGTATTTATAATTAATAAAACACATATACACATAACTACAATATATATAATATATCATTATTAATGTATATATATTAAAATAAAAATAATTATAATTAAATTTATATACTGTTGGAAGCTACCTGAGTAAACATACAGGTTGAAGACTCTGGTACATTCAGAAGGTTTGAATGTCGTTAACGGAAAAGGGCAAAGTGGGAATTTTCCAAGGGGTTAGTTGCTGAGCTAAATAAAGCAGAGCCGAAGATCAAGTTCCGCCATTGTTATCGTTTTAGAGTTTTCTTCAAGAATTGGTTGTATCCAAGAAACCCTAGATCATCGAATAAATAATCCTCTCTCTCCCGAGACGTAGGTACGATCACACCGATCGTACTGAACTCGTAATTCCCTGTGTCTTTACATTCCTGTATTCTTGTGTCTTTCTCCATTGTTGTGTTCGTGAGAGATCAGTGAGAGAGACGAATTACCGGTGACAGAAATCGCAATATCTGAATCGGTGATAAACGAATCGGAGAGCTCAGTAGTACATATACATACATAATATATATATTAAAGTAAAAATAATTATAACTACCATGTGGGATGAGTGTTTGTCTCAATGATATACTTTCTTACGGGTCATACAAAAATTGCAATTTAGTAATTCGTATCGCAAGAACAAAGGAAAAAAAAAAGCTCACATTTATCTTTTGTCATTTAGAATTTCAATTACATTGAAATTTATTTAGTTTATTGAAAAAATGTATCCAGATATCTTCTATATCTATATTTTTATATTTGATTGATCTCTATTCAATTTATTTTAAAAATATTTTTTCATTTTTTTATTCAGTGATTTTCATTATTTTTGTTAAAAACAATTTGATAATATTTCATTAATTTGATTTAAAAAATACAAGGCAACAAACAATGTATGCTATATAATGGATTAGAGATTGCAAGACCGCCAAAACACCGGTCAAAGCAATAATATGGTAAATCAAAGGAATCTCCCATTTTTTTACATTTAGAAACAAATATCCCAATTGGGGAGGAATTTATTTTCCTAATTTTATCCTACGAATTGCAGTTTTACCAGAATCTTTTGGTCCCCTTGAATTAATTGTACGGTTTTTCCCCCTTGAATTTTAAATTTAAAAAGTATAATATAATACGTGGAAATGTTATAATAGGATAGAAATTGCAAGACCGTCAAAGTGGCAGTCAATGGTAAATAAATCAAAGGATTTTTGTACATTCCTTTTTTATATTTTAAGACACAAATCTTATCTCATTTGGGGAGGAATCTAGTTTTTTCCTAATTATATCGTAAAAGAATTTACCAAATTTGTTCTTGAAGCTTTAAATTCAAATATTAATTAATAAATTCTATTTTCAATTTATGTATTGTACGGCCGATCTCACTCGGCATTTATAAAGTTCACTTTTGCTTTGCATGATCTCCATCAACGATAAATAGCTGATGATCCAACCCCACCGGGGAAACAAGAGCGACGACGAAGATCTCTATATATCCTTCATGGCGCTCCAATGGCGAATTCTCTCTTCCTCCTCTTGACCATTCTCCGGTTGCCTATTACTGGTCGTCACCTCCTCCACTCCCTCTTATAACTCTCTCTCTCTCTCTCTACTCATCCCGAATTTCGAATTTCTCCCGCATCCAATTTTCCCGGGAAAAACTCCGGTGCTCATTTCCGGAACCTCTTGGATTTTTTTATTTAAGTGATCAATTTCCATCGGGGATTTCGGGTCGGTGGGGGGTATAGTTTTAGTCTATTGCGTGCTTTGCGAAGATCAAGGAAACATGGCGGCGGTGCTCGTGTACCACGTAGTGGGTGATCTAACGGTGGGGAAGCCGGAGATGGTGGAGTTCTACGAGACGGAGACGGTGGAGTCGGCGATTAGGGCAATTGGAGAGTCGACGGAGTGTGGGATTCCGGTCTGGAAGAAGAGATCGCCGTCGCATCCTGGGTTGGTGGAGAACAGCGAGGTGAGGCAGCAGAGATTCGTGGGGATCCTGAATTCTCTCGACATCGTGGCGTTTTTGGCGAGGAGTGAGTGTTTGCAGGATCAAGAGAGGGCCATGAAGATGCCTGTTTCCGAGGTCGTCAAGCCCAACAATTCTCTCCTCAGACAGGTTGATCCTGGAACAAGGTCAGTTCTCTTTCCTTGTTCTGTATCCATATCTTACAAGAATTTGTGATCTAGAATTAGAATTGCTTGCTTGTTGTTGTTCGGAATCTGTCCCTGTGAAGTTGCTTCGAGCATTCAATAGGATTTTTCGCGTTTCTTGAGTCATTTTGCTTGACCATTGAAGCAATCCACCCGGACTTTATGCTTCTTGAATAGTTTCTCAGGCGTCACCTTCAATTCTATTTAGGTGTTAGAAATTAGGTCGTGGTTAGTTGCTTGCATCTGGGTACAAAGCCTGATTTTGGATGCCTCGTTGTAGAATTGTATGTAAAGATTTGTTCAATCGCGTTTGAGTGTTGTGTTCTAAAGAAGGGCGTGTTTTAATCCTATTTCTACCTTAATGTTTGTCGGTTGCTTCAACGGGTAATCAAGCTCAAGGATTTTGATTTTTTTTTCTTCTGTTCTTCGTTTTAGCAAAATTTGGATCTTGTAGAGAACACGTGCACGTAATGCAATCCATGTGTGTAGATTCCACCCTCGTCTTACCATTTTTTTTTTTCATTTTTCATACCTTGGTGCACCGTTTAAGGTGTTGCCGTTATAATCTAGAGATGCTTTGTGCACCGGACTGCCCTATTCATACAAGAAAGTTGGATCTGTCTCATGATGTTACTGTCTAGAAAAAGTAAAGCTAAAACCTTGGAATCCAATCCAAACTTCTGAAAATAGAATGTAGTTGAAAGTGCTGAGATCTTTTTTCAACCTCACTTTTATGTGTAAATATTCTTCAAATAATTATGTTTTGTTTTGTATGTTGCTTCCTTAACATAACTTTTCTCCGGGAAAAAGGCTTCTTTTTCTTCTTCTTTTCTTTTCCCCCCTCATTTGCCTTTCATAATGGATTCAAAAGGAGGAACATGGAAGTGATGAATTTTAATGGCCCTTTTTCTTAGAATCCATGGCTTTAAGCACCTTTTCTTCACCTCTTGGAAGTTTCAGATGTTTTTGGTATGGATGTGTATTATGTATCTATGTGTTTACTGGTAGTTTTGTTTTTTTCCCCCTCGGTTCAAAGTTCAGTTATGGGATTAGTTTTGTGCTGATGCCATTGCATTGTTCTTTTACAATGTAGACTAATCGATGCTCTCGAGATGATGAAACAAGGCGTGAGACGTCTTCTTGTTCCGAAAAGCGTCGTGTGGAGAGGTCTCAGCAAGAGATTTTCCATTCTTTACAATGGCAAGTGGCTGAAGAACATCGATAATTCCGGCAGTAGCGGTACTCTCTCTGCCGACACCAACAGGCCTACTTCTATGGCTTCAAGACCAGACAAGTTCTGCTGTCTTTCCCGGGAAGATGTGATCCGTTTCCTTATTGGTTGTCTTGGAGCATTAGCTCCGTTACCCCTCAAATCAATCTCTTCTCTTGGAGCCATCAACGGAGACCACAACTCCATTGAAGCTTCTCTTCTAGCCGTGGAAGCCACAGATGGGCCACTCGTTGACCCGAGTGCGATTGCCGTGGTGGAAGCCTCTGGAGACGAAAGCTATAAGATAATAGGAGAAATCTCGGCCTCTAAGCTCTGGAAATGTGACTATATCGCTGCTGCTTGGGCTCTAGCCAACTTTTCTGCAGGGCAATTCGTCTTGGGACTAGAGGAAAACATGTCGTCGAGATCATTCAGCGACTTTTATCAAGATTCATCAACCAGAGAAGAAGGGTCAGAAACGAGGCAGAAGAAGAAGTTCAGAGGCAAGAGCACAAGGTTCAATCCGACGATCCCGAGGTCTCTGGGCCAAGGGAGGAGCATGATGTACAGGGGAAGAAGCTCGGCCTTAACCTGCAAACCCACGAGCTCACTGGCTGCAGTCATGGCTCAGATGCTGTGTCACAGGGCAACTCATGTCTGGGTCACTGAAGAGGACGGGACTCTGGTCGGAGTCGTGGGCTACGGAGACATCTTGGCGGCGGTAACTAAACCACCTTCTGCTTTCATTCCTTCAAACCGATCTCACGAGGCTTTTGGTAATGAAATCCAGAAGTTATAGCATCAATACATGTTCTTTGATTCATCAAACTGGTAATGCTCCTTTGTTGTTTGTTGTGTTCTTGAGGGATAGCGATTTGAGACATTAAGGGAGGGACATGAAAGGAGGAGACTTTGGTGTAGATATTTAGTTTTTGAGATTGTGTCCTTGTTGAATTTGTGTGGAGCTTCAAATAAAGCAACAAAAAATAAATAAATAAAATAACAACACAAGCAGGCTGTTTAGTAAATTTTTATTATATGTTAGTATCTTATAAAGTTCATATCCATACGTATACGGTATATGCATACATGTACACGTACGCTACGTATGTACACACACCTACCTACCTGATACGTAGGTACGTCATATGTTAAAGTGAATGATTTAAGACACTATATTGTATTTTCAGATATTCATAATTTTATTCATTCGAATTTCATAAATCCAGAATCTTTAGATTTTTAATGAGGATGACTTTTATTTTGGATTTTTGGATTTTTGGATTCTATAATATTTAAAAATTCAAAAAAAGTATGTTTAGTTTTTCATTGTTGTTTTTTACTAAAATAGTTTTTCAAATTTTTAGTAAAAGTAATTTTGTAAAAATTTGAATGATATTTTTTTTTATATTCTAAAAACTCCAAAAACTCTAACCATTCAAAGTCTTAGCCCATTTTCCCTGCTCTTTTGTGCGAATAAAAGATTTAGCAATAAAAAAAAAGAATATCATAAACACAATTATGTGATTAATGAAATACAAAATGGATTTTTTTTTTTAAAAAAATAAGGATTCGGTTTATTTTAACCGTATAAGATGCGGCCTCCTGCACCTGATTGAATGATTGTCTTTTTCATTATTTTTTTTAAAGATAAAACAGGCACTTAGAAGTTAGATCTGAATCTGATAAAAGCACAAATCAGCATTAAAAACTTTTAACCATTCACCAAAATATTTTATTATCAGTAATCGACACCATAATAATATTCTTCCAAATGCCCAATGTCAGATAATGTCTGAACAAAACATGTTACACGCACCATCTTCAACAATACGCTAATTAAATCCTGGTAACTAAATCTACTCATACCAACATTTTCCTCACTTCTCTCATAACAATGGTGAATCAAAAAAATCTAAATTTTAAATTGATGAATTGAAAGGAGGCAAATCTTTGCTTGAAGATCTCAGTTGGGGACAAGCCGACAAGGAGAAGAAGGAGAAGAAGATGAGGGAGGAGGAGGAAGAAATCAAGGTCACCATGAACAGAAGCAAGGATCTCAGAGATGGCAGCCAAAGCAGTTGCAGGTTTTAGGGGTGAAGGAGCAAAAGCCAAAGGGTCTGTTTGGGATGTTGCAATTGATGGCAAAACAACAAGGTGAAGGCAGGCAAAGTCCCCCTGAACCTCCACAGCATTTACAAACAGAGCACATCTGGAAACTCCCAAGCTTCCTTCTTGTCTCATTCATCATCACCACCACGAGCTTCTCCTCCATCAACGGCACCATCTCTCCCTCCTCAGATGACGACGACCCATTTGCCTTTTTCCAAACAAAACTGCATTTAGAGCCCAAAAACGCAGAAAAACTGGAGGAAAAATAGAATCTTGCACGATCGAATCACTGAGTACTCGAGACTGGAGCATGGCCCAAGGGCTATTTCTTCAAACTGAAGAAAAAGGTGCCAACTTTGAAATCTATTACGCCTTTTCTACAACGCAATCAGAATGCCCAGAAGAAAACTAAGAACAATTCTACTGGGAAAAGCGAAGGGATCAAGCGAAGAAGTCAGATTGAGGTGGAGGAAATGGTAAAGGGGATGAAACACACACCTGGATTTCAGAACTTGTTTGGCTGAAACTGATGAAACTTGAGAAAACAAGCAGGAAAATTATTGAGATCGTGGATTCTTCCAAAGCTCCCATCTTTTTTATTTTCTCTCTCCGTGTAAACTTAAAGAATTGTGGGGTTTATGTGTTGGAGATTCGGTGAAGTGGCTTGCGCTCATGAAGGACTTGGTCTCTTCTCCTTTTCCCACTTCTCTTTTATCTTTTTTTTTTTCAATTAGATAAGATTTTCTTATATTCGAAGAAAATTATAGATTTTTATATTTTTGAGTAATTCTTTCCATAGCTTTGCAATTGACGAAACTATACAATAATCATTTTTTTGGCCAAACTATATGATAGGATAACATACATTAATACCGGTTAATAGAAAATCACATCTTCACTTTGGGGTGAAAAAAGTCTGGAACTTGGGAACCATTTTATTTGCATTGGGCATAAGCTGTGGAATTTTGTTGTTTATCTAAAGAAAAACCCAGTGTTAATTTAGATTGGATTGGATAGTCTCGACTACTATGGACAATTTCTCAAGCATGTATCATTATAAATTGGATTGGTAGCCTTTAAGGAATATATGAAGAAGAAGCAACATCATTATGTTCCCATTTTGTTGGTGATCCAATTGAATCACCAGTCCCACTTCACTCGTAGATTCTGTATCTCCATTGCTTTCAATCAACATTTCCATTACTTCCACTAGAATGCTCTTCTCTTGAACCATCCAAGCAGCTTTCTTTATGTTGTTCTTCCCAACAGATGCTCAGAGACATCAGCTGTCTTGTTGTTGCCTACATGACCGAGAACCCGAGCTACAGCAGCTGAAACTGCAAAAGGGTAATGAGAGTTAGCGTAATCTTGACCGATGAATCCATAAAATGAAACAGCTGTAGTTGATCAATAAGTATGTTTAAGCTGGTTTCAGCGCAAGTTCCTCTAGCAGATGATCAATAAGCAGAAGCATGTGTTCCGAGATTCAGAAGATACGAAATTCTGGATGCATATGCAGGAATTTCTCCAACTTGTCCATGAATTCATGTAGTTATGAGGAATCAATGGACCCGTGATTGCTCGGTCCAAATGCAACCAAAATCATTTCTAGTCAGACCCTTAAGCAACCTATCGTTCATTACCACCTAAACTTCAGGCTCCAGCAAAAACAAAACAGACGATGAAGATATCAAAACCATGCAACTGTAAGTGAATAAGAAAGAACTCAGCTGCTTGGAGAAGGATCAGATTCTGTAGGTGCTATAAAAGTATAAATTAAAATGAATTTTATCCTTAAAAGCACTACTTTTTGAGCAAAGGATCGGATTCTGCTGGTGACAAAGAGAGAGCAAGTTATTAAGACAGCACATGGAAATAAAGACCAAGGGGCTCACCGGACAAGCAAACAGTTAATGCCTTTTGTCAAGAATCATCAAAGCACTTTGCAGCAATTGTCTGGCTTTCCTATCTGCAGTACATCCAGATGCTTCCATTTCCCTGAATATTTCTGGCACCTACAAAGCAAAAAACTGAACTGCTTAATTTAGCCTAAACGAGGTAACCCATACCTGGGTATCTCCGGTAACTAGATGCCCAATAACGGGAATTATACGAGCTTAAATAAACAGATACCACCTTTTCTCTTCACCCTTTATCATCGTAGAAGCAGTCAATATAGATTTTGCAGTAACGGGATATGGGACTATAGGAAAGTCTAGAAGCACGAGACAGGAATTAAGTACCTTTTCATACTTCTTTGCTCGAATGAATGCTTTCATAAGCGTGCTATAGGTCACTACATCAGGGGTGAAACCCTTCAGGCGACAAATCGGTTAGCTAAGAATGTAGTTCAACAATGATAAGGGGAATGTATTTTAGTTGAAAAATTGTCCATCATGCATTAACAGCTTTATGGACAAACAGATAAGATCATAAGACATGACATACACTTTCTTTAATATGGTGGTAAATTGACAGAGCTTCCATGTGCCTCCCAGCGGTTCCAAATGCATTAATCAACACATTCAGCATGATTAAATTTGGTTCGATCCCCTCGTTCTCCATAGTCTCGAGCACCTTAACTGTCTGTTCACATAGTCCCTGCACGAAATGATTTGATCACGAACAGATCATCCATATCCGTACCTAAAAAAAATGCAATTCTTGTTGAAACGATAGAAACCGAGGGTTTCTATCTAAGTTTTTGCCGCTACTTAGGGAGACCGGCCCATTCCGACTTGATTCGAGGTGTGACAGCCTCCTTTTTTGTGATCTAACTCTTCAATGATCCTATTGCTTAATAGAAGTGCTCCTTGTATAGGACTTACATTCATCAAACCTAGAGATAGAACCCTAGGTCGAATAGGAAAAACACCATAATTGGAAATATGAAACATGTCTTAACTAAAATAGGTAGAAAAATAGAAATATCTGTAACTGATCAAACTTCTTGGAATGTATCGGGCTAGGGACGAAGCTGAGGCCTTATTGGCCACAACCTAACCCCCTTGATGGCCCGAACACGTTAAACGTATCGAGCGTCTATCGCTTGCGCAATCCAAGTTAAAGTTATCATAGAGAGAACAAAGGATTCACCAATTCATCACATTGGTGTTTTATAATGATTCCACGTGCAGGGATTCCACAAAGTAGAATTATATAAGGAAAACTAGAAAAAATAAGCTAAAGACCCCACATTTACACTAGGATAATCTTAAGTATGGAAATTCAAGAGAATAAGGCGCGTCCGATGCAAGCAAAATATGAGTAGATACAAATGAGAAAGGCCAAACTAAACCATGTCAAGAATGAAAATAGATCAGGCCGAGAAACAAAAGAAACTAAGAACTAGAAACAAAGCGAGATGGGAAATCAACCTGCTGAGCATAAGCATTTGCCAAAGCACAAAACAGGCCAGCCGAAGGGGCAAGACCTTCCGACTTGAGCTTGTCTACAAGCCCCTTAACATCATGAAATCTACCATACTGTCCAATAACGTCAACTAAAGCCGCGTAAATAGCTCCTGTATCTTTATGTCCTCTACATTTTATAGCTTCGTAAATTTTCTGTATCAAATCCCATTTCCCTTTCTCTCCCAACCGGGTAATAAGATTCACAAATATCTTAGGGTCAGGATAAAGCCCCTGATCTTGCATCATTGTAAACAACTCAATGGCCATTTCAAGCGCACCATGATGACAATGCCAACGTATCAACGAATTCCATGTGCCGATATTCGGTTTCGCATCACTGGAGGCCTGCATTTTATCTAGAACTTGCAAAGCTTCGTCTAACTCTCCGTATTTACCAAATGCATCGATAATGCTGTTGTATATATGCACATCCATGGCTAAACCCATCTCTCTAACCTCTTCTACAATCTCTAATGCCTTCTTCCACATCCCGTTGTCTCTATATATCCCTATGATCTTCCCATAAACAAAGGAACTCAACTGAAACTTTTTCTTCTTCATCTCATTAACCACACGCCAGTAATCCTCCAATCTCCCAGAACTAACGTAATAATCCAGTAGAATCTCATAAGTTTCCTGATTCTTCCCAATATTTTCCTCCTCCATATTACCCAAAACCCTAACAGCAAGCTCTAACTGGCCTTTTCTCAAACACCCTTTGAGCAATACATTGTACAACCTCACCTTCAACCTCGTATTGCTCCCATGGGGTCCGAATCGAACCGCTTCTTGAAACAGAGCATCCGCTTCGAGTGTCCTGCCGAGACCAGCGAGGGTTTCGATCAAGCAAACGTATGTAAGGGAATCGGGTCGTGACCCGAGAGAGTCCATCTCGGCGACCAGAGACATAGCCTCGTCGATTCGACCTGTTCGGCAACAATGGCGGATCCAGCGATTGTAGAGCGAGAAGGGTACTTCCTCTGTGGTCGTGTGGCGCGAGCTCGGGAGGAGAGAGCAGCCATTGACGAATGGTTTTGAGCATCTCGAGGTCAGTGTAGAAGAATTTCTCGTCGAAAATGAAGAACCTGAAACGCGGGGGATGATGGCTCCGCAGAATCCGTGAACTTTGGTTCCCAGAGACATGTTTGTAAGAAAGCTGTAATCACATTTTTGTTTGGACCGTCAGTCTTCTTGTTCTTGTTCTTTGTTTTTTTTTTCGTGGAGCAAAAATAGCCATCATATTTAATTTAACGGGATTTAACTGAAATCTATTAAAAAAATATCTGAAATTTGGTTTAGAATAGAAATTTGTAGATATATAAATTAAATATAACTATATTAAACAGAAAAATTATATATATTAGGTTGATTAATTATATACTCTTTATTAAACGATTTTTTTTTAATTTTTAATTTTATGTGTGAAACAGAGTTGTATATATTTCCATTCAAGCTCAATTTTCTTTTCAAGCTCAAAATTTTCTCAAATGGAAACGTTCGGTCGTTCCCAACCCGCACAGAGTTCTTCGTAGCTTCGTTTGGGTCTCTCAGTTTCTCCTCTCCGAGATTCTTCCTCATGCTTCTCTGAATCGTAAGCATTTTCTCAGATCCCCAGATCCCTTTTCGCATATTCACTTTTCAATCTCATATTTCCCGATAAAGTTTCTGGATTTTGAATTTTCTCGCACGCCAAACAGGGAAGGGCTTGCGCCAGATCTGAACTCTCACCTTACTCATGGGTTTGCTTTCAAACCCTAGTTGTTCTCTTCTCCGCCTCCTCCTCGTCGCCGCCTTCTTCTGCTTCGTCGTCGTCTCTGCGCAGGTTTTTTTTGGCTCTTTCGTCGATTGTTCCCATGGATGCGTCTCGCGAAATGCATTGAATTGCTTTGAGTTAGTGTCGTTCTTCTAGGAGTCGGGGGTTGAAAATGAGAGGCGCGAATTGGAAGGATCTTCCATGGATCTGGGTCGTCGTGGCATGGTAAATTGGTTAGATTTTGCTTTTTTTTTTCTTTGGTTGGGAACTGAGAGTTCCATAGTTGCAGATCAATCAAGCAACGATCTAAGAATGTTCTGTATGGATCCGAGTTCATGTCCAAATGTGGATACTTGTTTGCAGATTGGAGTTGACGCTGTTGGAGATAATGTCAATCTTAATTCTCTTGGTCTGAAAATTGACCTTGAATCCACTGGCCCTGGTGTTTTTGATGCACTCTTTGCAAGTTTTTCGATGATCGTCGTGAGTGAGGTTCGTCATTTTGCTTTTTGCAAAGACACAAAGACATGAATTGAAACTCCAGGTTGCCTTGAAATGGTTTTAGATTTGAGTTTTTCTGTTTCTGTGGCATGCATCAAGATCATAATAACGAGTTCTTACATTTTAATTTGCTTGCCAGATTGGGGATGAAACGTTTATAATAGCGGCACTTATGGCTATGCGGCACCCAAAAGCCACTGTTCTGTCTGGTGCACTCTCTGCTTTAGTTGTCATGACAGTAAGTGTGGAGTTCTTGTCTTGACTGTGTAATTTGTTTCTGATTGGTGTTTTTGGGCATTATGATTTCAATATTGCTGATAAATGGAGAAAGCGTTAAGGAGTTTATTCTCACGTCTAATCTTTCCAGGCTTTTATGTCTTGAACTTTGCTTATAGGTACTTTCTACTGGACTTGGTAGGATTGTGCCGAACTTGATATCGAGGAAGCATACTAATAGTGCAGCTACAAGTATGTAGTCCTATATCCTTATTTATCATTGGGATTCTGATAGAGCCTCGGGTTCTACTGATTGTTCTTTCCACACTTAGGGAGTACACGTGGTGGCTACAAGGATTAAAATATGTTAACCGTGATTTAGCGTAGACCCAATTATTTCTAATCTCCCTTAAACCCAAAATAAAACAAAGCCTAAAATAACAAAACTCAATTTCCTAATTTAGGAGCCTATCAGATTCATGCACTGGATTATAAGCTCTGGTTGTTCCACTCAGTCATTTTAAATTTGCTCAGTTATCATCTCTGTTATGTGAAGTTAGCGTGATGAACCATCTCAATTCGTTGGATGTGCAGTTCTCTATGCATTTTTCGGATTACGGTTACTCTACATAGCTTGGAATTCAGATCCAAAGGCATCTCAGAAAAAGGAAATGGAGGAGGTGTGTGATTCACAACCATTATCTGTTATTACTAGTTGTGTGTTTTACAGACAGTGACTGAATCTTGAAGTTGTTAATTCTTAGAGCCATCTTGGATCCAATCTGAAATTCGCTTGGCTTGGGTTAAATATCTTCTTGCATCTTAGAAATGTTCGAGTGGTAAAGTAGACGTAACCTTGAAGGCCACAACATCACTCCTTTGCTCGTGAAAAAAATTTACGAGCTTGTTAGGAATACAACCTCAGATAGAAAATGTTAAAACTGTATTTCTAACGATCTTATGATTGTGGGTTCTGTTTGGTCTGTTCGTTGGGATCTATCCACTCTGGTAGTTTGCATATTGACAAATTGGAAGAGTGGGAGCTTATGCTTATAATTTCTTGGATTTTTTTCGAGTAAAAAAAGATAGAAATCGACTTTCTACAATTAGAATTAAAAGAAGTAAATGGTAGCTGGAAATGGTAGATACACTGTTGCTGAGTGGTTTCTGTGTTAGTCGTTTTCGTTTTGTTTTATCACTGTACTCTTGTGAACAATCATTATCTTACCCGCCATTCATTTTGGGTCACTTCTTGATTAAGGTCGAAGAGAAACTCGAAGCAGGGCAAGGGAAGACAGCCTTTCGCCGTTTCTTCTCAAGATTTTGTACCCCGATATTCCTTGAGGTATGAAAGTTTGTGGTTACGGACATCAACAAATATCTCGTTTCCAAGAAAATATATAACATAATATAATAGTTTTGCAGTAACTTTTTTTGAGCTTATCGATTTATTTTTGTAGCTCTTGCGGTCATTGCCCGATAATTCCAAAAATTCTTGGTATATCTCTCGTCGCAGGAGATGACTTAAAAGTTCTTTTCTTTTTTCTCTATTCCTCTGTGCAGTCTTTCATCTTAACCTTCCTAGCTGAATGGGGTGACCGCAGTCAGATCGCAACAATCGCTGTAAGAAAGAATTTTTTCGTTTCCCGATGCAAATTCTGTCAAGTTTGATTCTTGTCTCGGAAAACCCGTCATTGTTTTCACGTGTTCGACTAATAGAAAACGGAATTTCTCCTAATGCAGCTTGCAACTCACAAGAACGCGGTAGGAGTAGCCATAGGAGCTACAATAGGGCACGCCATTTGCACGTCACTTGCGGTGGTAGGAGGCAGCATGTTGGCTTCTAAGATATCGCAACGGTCTGTTGCGACGGTTGGAGGTTTACTCTTTCTCGGGTTTTCGATCTCTTCTTACTTCTATCCTCCTCTATAGTGAGTTGCAGTTGAAGGACATTGCTTTGGAGTAATGAAATGGATATGGCTCCTTCTTGCTTTGAGTTTGGGTCCTAATGAAGTAAGTAAAGTAGTATTGTATTTGTTTGCTTGTTCTTTTGATTTTGTATGAAAATGGTTACGAGAATACACAACACCATTGTTTTGCTCTTGCTCTTCCATGTATAACCTTATGATGAAATGTATAATCGGATCAATATAAGCTATGATTAAATGTATTGGTATAATTTTTTTAATTCATGAAAAAAAATCGAAAAAATAATTCAAACAATATTATCGTATTTAAATTATTGTATTTTAAAATAATTTTTTTTGAATAGAGATGTAAAATTAGCTGTAGTTCGTGGATGGTTAATTTTAACGAGTTAGAGGAAGATTTGTTTTTTGGTTATAATTGTGTGCAGCTCAATTTTATTTAAATTTAAGTATTCTAAAAATTTTATTCTTTAAACTTTATAAATCTAAAAAATCACATTAATTCTCTTAATTGGGCCGACGCGGGATTTTTTTTCCCTTCTGGGTAATTTGTCGTTTTGGAAATGACTTTCACCCAAATGTGAAAGTTCAAAACGCGAAAGGGAGGAGAAGTGGCGTTTGGCACCAACACCAAACGTTGCTCTGCCTTTGATTAAGTTTGCACACACAACGCATGAACGCCAAACGCTGCGTTTGCACCGAAACATAATCAGCCGTTACGTGAGCGAGCGTGAATTTACTTGGGCTCTCACTTTCTTCAAGTCGGAGAAATTGAGTTTCGGCCCTACGTTTTTCTCTCTACCTCCGACTCTTCGCCGCTGTGAGCTAACCGGCAACGGTTCCAGCGAGATCAGACCGGCCTTTTCTAATTATCCGGCAGATCTAGTCGTTTCGACCGGCTTTTGTCTGACCGTGTGAGTATAGTCTGCGATATTCTTCTCATTTGCGTCTGCTTGATTCTCGTTTGGTATGTTATTCGTTTTCCTCTGGATTTTGATCGTGGGGGTTGTTCAGTGCCATTTGATTTTAGGATTTATGGATTCGATTCTGTTATTTGTTTTCATGTTGGATCTGGTATGAATTTGGTTTGAATCTCTAAGTGTGTAATTTGCCAAGTTTTTGGAGCTGATCTGGAATTGAAACTGCATGATCCTTTCCCTCTTATTTTGTTGTTTTCAACCGAAATTGATGAAGATTATGGTTGGTTTGACTTGCAGTCTCACATTCATTGTTCCTTATACGTAAATAGATAACCTTAAGCATGGTGAAAGCAGTAATCGGAGAAGAAACCAGACTCAGTTCTACCGAAGATCGTCTCTCTCGATCAGCTATCCCTGCTGAGGTAAGACACATGCAAAGTGTATATTTGTATATATTTGCGTCAACATGGTTAATAATTTAAAGACGTGAATATGGCGTTTGTAATTCAAAGCTGTGTTTGAGATCTGATTGTTTTTCGTGGTGTTTGGAAATGGGAACAGGTGGGTCTTGTTATAGGGAAGCTTAGCTCTGCTGTAGATCGTGGTTTCGTGTTTGATTTGATCCCTACTCCTAACAATGATGCTGGAGAACCAGCATGCTCGGTTATGGAGGCCAAAGACGAGAGGAAAAAGTCATCCAGATCAAAATCTCAGTCATCTGATGCCTCTTCTCTATCAATTGATTCCGATTGGGTTGCAGAACATGCCCGACAGGTGTAATGCATATGTATACTGAAACTATTGTTAATTTTTGGAATATTTGATATACTTCCCATTTTTGTCGGTTTCGGGTACAGATGATTGTGCATGGTTGATGTGGATTTGCATTGTAATGAGTTTTCTTATTTCAGGTATCAAGAATGCTTTTAGGTGGGATGAAGGTGGTTGGTGTATACGTATGGGCGAGTGACAGTTCTTTTAAGAATTCAACTATGATGGTTTGCCAGGTAACCTTGTGTGCGATTGTGTTTTGTGCTGGAATTTGGGTTGAGTGTGAAGTCCTTCTGGGATAGAAAGATGTCACAATCTACTGCATGTCCTTCTTGTTATCCATTTGTAACATGCAATACCTTCTTCATCAGGCTATCAAGGGGGTTGCAGATGCAGTACAGCATTTGGATAGTGCGTCAGATGAAGCTCTTCTTATTCACATATGCTATAGTCCACGAAGGTATTCTGCCTTGGTAAATAAATTAGTTCTTGCTTCCTAATAATTTCTGGAATTGTTGGGTGTACATAATCATACTAAGGATGTTTACATGTTTGTAGATGGAGTTGCCGAAGTTGTTTGTTGGGCTCAAGTATTACATCAAGTAACTTGCGACCTTGTGATTTAAAGATGGGAAGAGTACTAAGCTCTTTGCAGAGGTTTAGATGCAATTACAGCTTCAATCTGAGGTAAATCATTGTATTTATTATATTAGGCTTATGAGTATATAGCGAAGTATTTAATAACGTTGAAAGTCGAGTTGGTGCACTCCGAGTTATGAATGCATTTCCTATGTAGCCTAATAAGCTACCATGCACATTGCACTGTTTTTTTTAAACTGGAATATATTGTGACTATCTGTAATATACCAATATATTACTCTTTGCTTGTCAATACTTTTTTCATTTTTATACGTATTTCCGGCGTCTCTCAGTTCTTTTTTTTCTCAAAAGTGAAACTTTAATCTACTAGATTTCCCATTTGCTCTGTGGGTGAATCAGCTGCCCAAACATTTACCGACATTCTGCGCCAACAACTTGCAAATCATGCAAAAGATCTAAGGAGTGCAAATGCTTTGATTGATGGAAATCTGGTAAGGCAAATATATGCCCTTGGTCACTTTATCGATTTTGAAAACTAACTCTGTTACTGCAAATGATCCATCCGTATTCTCATTTTTCATTCTGGAGTTTGCATGGTGTGCGTGTGCAAGTTGATTAAGGTGCCACACTGCATAATCATGTAGTTAGGTTGCTCTTGAAACTATTTAAGTTAGGTCATAAGTCTTCCTTCTACACATCAGTTCAACCTATATCAATTAAATTGTAGATGAGAAAAACAATGTCTTGTCTGGGCATTTCCTTTCTCTGTTTATTGTGTTTGTATATGGTGCTGGATTTTTCAACAAGTTCTTGTCATATTTATTTGTATGTTGTTGTGCTGAAGGTGCATAACGATGCGCCATGCAATACAGATGGAGAGCATGAAGTTGAATTGCTATTCCCATTCATGAAAGATGCTCATGTTGAGGGTATGTCCTGTCATGTCAATCTAATGAATATTCTGCTCATATGTTTGAATTATCACGCCTAATATTCAAATGTACTCTGCAAAGCCTTTAGTGGGAAGGATGTTGCTGGAGTTCTTCTTGTCAGTGGTTCCATATGTTCTTATGCCTACTTATATGCAAAAGAACCAGTTTCACAGGCTGTAGACGATATAAAGGTGTGTTGTGAAAAGTGTTTTACCCTCTCAACATGTGATGACGCCAGCTCTAAGTTAACCACTCGAATGTTTTGGAAAATTCTACAATTGTTTTATTTTCCATTTCCGCTGCAAAATAAGTGGTACCCTTTACTTTTTTGCCGCAAAATGTTGATGTTCATTAATGGTTTTTCAGGCTGATATCATAAGGAGTCTAAGAAGCAGGTTGGACATTATCTGCGATGAGGCGGAGGAGGATCTCATCAGTCCAAATGATAATAGTGCAGATAAGGAAGACATGCCTATTACCAAACTCGTCCTCTGTTCATCTACGTGAGTCAACGGCTACTTTTGCTAATCATCATCTATAGTTTATTTATGTAGAAGCCAAATTGCTCACAAAAGCATTTGTTCGAGACTTTGGCATTGCTAATCTTTTCGCGTGTTTGTGAAATAGGAAACCCTTCCGTCTTCCTCTTCCTAGGAGGGTTTTTGTCCCCTGGTTGTCGGGGACGTTTATCTGTGATTATCTACAGCCATCTGAATCACTCGAGGTAACAAGCGATTTTTACAATGTTTCTGATATCAAGGTTGTTAAATAAAGTCCGAAATAAGAGTCTCCCGGCTTGACAATCTCTGAATAGGTCTTGAAAGATCGTTGTATCGAGTTGAAGTTGATGGAAAATCCTCCTGAGAGCTCGACATTCTCGGAAGTAGAAGCAGAAGCTCCGTTACTGATCTCGAAATCTTTCTGGGATGCGGTATCGGTATCAGCCGCATCTTCTGCGGAAAACTTGATAACCGAAAGGAGTGGTAAAGAAACTCGGCATGAAGGAGGTGAGAACCAGAAGAGAAGTGGTAAAGCACCAAATATTGCCATTATGGTTGGGGCTTTGGTCCTCCTCCTCTCTGTGATATTAGGGTTTGTGTTTTATGGGTGGGAATAAACATTTCACATTGTCTCAGATTTTGATAGTAACCCAAAATGATTTTTGACGTTATTTCCAAAATAGTGTTTTAGACATTCAGAAGGTATATTTTGTTGTATTTTGGCCGTAAAATTTGCTCTTTTTTATTTCCTTGGAAAATTTTTGAAAATTAAAGTACACTTTTACAGTGGTATTATGGGTTTAGTTTAAGTTCGGGTTAATTATTTCCATATTCACATATTTTGGTTTTAGAAAAAATTATCCATATTCGATTGCAAAATATTGTGCAAGGTAAGGGTTGGACCTTTTGTGGTTGGATTTTTCCCAAAATCCTTGCGAAGCGAATGTTTTGTGTACCAAATTGTACTTTATTGGATTCGGTTTGGTTTGAACTGTTTTTATTGTTAAAAATATTTGTTTCCAAAGAGATTATTGGTTTTTAGTTTATTTCTGACTGGTTTCAGATATAGATATTATAATGTTGAAAAGCAAAACCAAAGCTTTTTCATTGGAATTTTATTAATTTGATCAGCTGGAAGATAAACCGAAATAAACCGGCTCGGTTGGGTTAGGGCCGGTAACTTGTACAAATTTATGGGCCGAAGCAGAAAACGTGAAAAAAGAGCCCGATAATGCGCTTGTACGACGTCGTTTCCTATAGCCTGCCTCGGATAGTTTAGCTATCGCCGGCCCCACTCATCTCAAGGACCAAAAGAAAAATCCTCATTTCTTGGGAAGAAGATAGAGACTTCTAGGTTTTCTTCGGCTCACAACAATGGCGGCGAGGGGTACTTTGCTTCGATACCTTAGAGTCAACGTCACTCCTGCTCTTCAAAACCCTAGCATTAGTTCCGAGCACTGTGCACTTCCCTTCAACGTACTTCTTCGTTGTTTTTCCGACGAAGTCAGAGGCTCTTTCCTCGACAAGTCGGATGTCAGTGATCGAGTCATCTCCGTCGTCAAGAACTTCCAGAAGGTGGATCCGTCTAAGGTATTTTCTCTCTTTCGTTGGTGTTTCTCTTGGTTTGGTTTCTCTTGCGACCCGATATTGAAAGCCCATTTATTCCATCTGCATTTATGTTTTGTGATGAAACTGTGTTTATGGTGAATCTTCTGTGCAATTAGCTCTTTATTTTTCTCTGGATGAAGAGAAACCTCTTTGTGTAATGTGGAAATGAAGAATGCGTGAGCTGTATTTGCATTTGCTTTGGACGTTATTGATAATTTGATAGGGCATTCTCTTACATGATTTGGTTATCGCTGCTTTCTAGCGATTTGATGGAAGAGGAATAGTTTATGTTTCATGTGAGTTAGTCTGTAACATCTGATGCTATTGCTTATGCGAAACTTCAGTAACAGAGCAGAAGATTTGTTTTATATAAGATTTTGGGTATGGATTTGTTCGTGTTTTGGCCAGTGTTAACAGCTTATTCCTTTGCATAATACCGTATTCTTCGTGATTTCAAATCAGTTTTGAGGTGAGTTCAAGCTTTGGATTTTTCCTTGTGTTTGTCTTCTGAGAGCATACACGAGTTGTACTGCATTGAATTGATGAGATTAAGATCATGTTCTTGTTACCCCGACTATGTTTTTGTCTTCCAACACATTGTATTTGTGCTTGGAAATGATCATCAAATCTGCATAAAAATAGGTTTCTAGCTCCGGAGATTCCTGGAGCTTTTAGAAGCTTTCTTCCAGCATGCTTGCTCTTAGATTGTCTTGTCCTTCTTCCAGCTTACCCTTTTGAATCAGAAGACAAACGATAAAAGAAACGAGGAGTTTAGCGTGCTCTATATACCTAGTTTTGACCTGTGTGCAAGGTCTATATGCTTCTGAATTCTCCACTGTTTTGTGCAATAATGGTAGAAGAGGAGAAATAGCTGCTGTATTCTCAGAGGATCAAATTCAAACCCTACGCTATTGGTGTTGTTGATGGATCCTCTCATTTGCTAATTGCAGGTGACACCAGACTCCAATTTCCAAAGTGATCTAGGGTTAGACAGTTTGGACACAGTTGAGGTTGTGATGGCGTTGGAGGAGGAATTCGGGTTTGAGATCCCCGACAACGAAGCTGACAAGATTCAAACCGTTGGACACGCCGTGGAATACATTGCTTCACACCCTCAAGCCAAGTGATGGGGGAAAAAACTTCACTCCAGAACTCGCCCATCTATGCTTTTGTCAAACAGATGGTTTTATTAGCTGAATAAGAAAAGCCAGAAACATGTTTGAAGAATGTAAAAAACTTCACTGCCTCAAGAGTATTCTTTTTTCATCGTTAATGCTTTTTGGAGATTGATGTTTATAACTAAGTTTTGATGTTCTTTGTCGAGTATTTCCACCTTGATTCTTTAAATTTCTTCCGATTCTCTCTTTGTATTGTTTTATTTCACTCTTTGCATTTCTTTGAATACGTATCGGTGGCGTTTTTATTCCTAGTTTTTTTTTAAAATTTTGAAATATATATTTTTAGATTTGGTCTTGATTCGTTTTTTTGGTAAGAATGTTTATTTTTAAAAATAATTTCATTTTTTTTTATTATTTTTATATTTGATCTGGAATCGATTTTAGAAAATTTATATCAATTCAGTTTTTATAGATCAATAAAACAAATTCTTCTTGCCGTAGATGTTCATTAGCTTCATTGACACCAAATATTATCGAACACACTGACTCTTCTCTATTTTTCATTGCGAAGCATAGCAAATGCAAAACATAGGGGTGTGCGTTTCGGGAAACGGTTCGATTCTTTCGGTTTTACAAAAATTGGTACCAATCGGATTTTTTATTATATTCGGTTCAGTTCGATTTCGGTATCGGTTTGGTTCCGGGCTTTATTAAAAAAATGTTAGATTTTTTAAAAAAATATTCGAGTTTTCGGGATTTTTAAAGTTCGGTTCGGTTCGGTTCCGGAAAAATTCGGTTCTCTAAAAATGGTACCATTCGGGAAATAACAGCGGTTTCGCATCGAAAAAAATACCGTTTTAACGGTTCGGTTCGGTCCGGTTCCGAAGAACCAAACCGAAACGCCCAGCCCTAGCAAAACATGTAAATTCTTTCGGTTCAATACCCTAAAAGCCGGAAACATGGACGAGTGTTCGTATCCCTTTCCCATCATCTTACATTATACAATCCAGTATTTTGCAACAGTCGTAACACCAGCAGATCGATAGACAGAATCATGTAATAATAATGCGTGGTCTCCGAAATCTTTGTCGAGAGAGACGGAAAAAAAGGAATGATCCATCTGACCTCATCTTTCCGTTGATTGGCTATGATGATTGAAAGAGAATCCGAATCATCTTCTCCTAACAGCGGAACTAGAGGATCCTCGTTGAATGGCAGCTGCAGACTGTTGCCCTTGAGGCCCTCCTCCTGCCTGTCCACCCGCCGGTTCTTCCGCCATGTTCATGGCTTGTGTTACAGCGTTCATCACTATCAGCCCGAGAGGGATCACGTACATCCACTGCCATTAAGGTCGGTTATATATCAACAAATTGCATGTAAAATATGATTGTAAGTTTTGTCGCTATTGCCTGCCTCCCCCCCCGCCGGTTCTTCCGCCATGTTCATGGCTTGTGTTACAGCGTTCATCACTATCAGCCCGAGAGGGATCACGTACATCCACTGCCATTAAGGTCGGTTATATATCAACAAATTGCATGTAAAATATGATTGTAAGTTTTGTCGCTATTGTTTGTGCGTGTGCGCACTTACGTATTTTGCCCAAAACGATCTCTCTGGTGGCAGTTCGGCTTCACCCTCCACTTTCTCACCGCCTAGAATTTCCTCGGTGAAAATTGGAGTTCTGCAGAGTCAGAGCATTACGAAGACAGTCAGAATCTAACTGATGAATTGGAAGATATCTGGGCGATTGATGGATGAAAATATAAGGACTCAATTACTAGCTCATTGATAAAATGTTAAAGCGATAGCAATATTATACTACCTTGGTGCCTGCTCACTGCTCTTCAAAATAGTATGGGAGTTGAAAGACCATTTCGACGGCTGTTTTAAACAAAAGATTAGATGAGATCGCGCGTCACAAAGACGTACGAGCCATGACACAAGGAAAAAACTGAGCCCTATAAGTCTATTCTGTGTTTGTAAAATCCCAAGTTCAATTTCAAACTGTAGAGATGTGGAAAGGTATGCCAAGTTCTAGTGTTCAGATAGAAAGACACATAACAAAACACTTACAAATTATTCCTTCTGCTTGTAAAACATGATACAAAGCAAGATAATCCACCAACTCTAGATTTAAAATATGCTGGAAAGACAACCAAATTCAATTACGTGAATTGAATTTATAACTAATCCATGCATCAGATCTAGACTCAGGGGAAAGATTGAGATTCCGCATCTTATCAAACATGTCAGCTTTTGAAATGATATAATTCGATTAAATAACAATCTTGACTCACAAATTTCAACTGTCGGGGATAAGGGCATGCTCCAGGAGAACCATAATTGACTGCCAGGATGTTCACACCGTCCTGCAACCAGATAGAATAGTAGAGTGAGACTAACACAGTAATGAACCATGCCAAATGTCCTAAATCTCTCAGTTAACAGAAGGCCCGGAGAACATTCAAGCAAAGATCTCAAAAAGCTGATAGCTAAAACGGAAGGAAATTACCATGTGTATAACGATATGCTCATCCAAACCATCCCGTGCAAGACATCTCTGTACATATATAGTTATTGAAAACACAGAAAATGGAAAGGAAGAAGGCACGGAAGAAAAGAATAGCAAAAGCAAATTACAGAAGAATATAATAAAAAACACGTTGGTAGATTTAATCTGCAATAAGCCTAAATAGTCTTCTTTATTTGTCCTAAAAAGTGGGTTTCAACTAGTAATTCACTAATCAACTACTTTGTTTCATTCTACCCAACAAGAGAAGCAAGCTCTTTCATCTCAAAAGGGTGAAAAGCAGATAAGCTGAATTTCTATGAAACTGTAAGCTGGTACTAGGACTAGAAGTTCAAAGAGTGAACCTAATTAAGTTATTAACTAACCTCTAATCTAAGAGACAAACACCACGGCACAAAATTTAAAAATGCATATTTCAATATAGAAAAGTATATATAGTGAGTGAAGAAAACAAATGACAGACAGCTATTCGGTATAAATCAGAGTTTTCAGCAGCTACAATTTTGAGGAAGCATAAGCAAACAATCAATGGGACAAGAGAACAAGCAGGTAGATAGAAAGATAAATCATTGAAAAGTTTCATTTGAACTTACAGCTTTGACTGATGCAATCACATACTCTCTTCCAGGTGCACTCAACACATTAGATGGAAGCCTTATTCTATAGAAGTCATCTCCTTTCAGCAGATTCTAACAATTGATTCCAACAAAAGCTTTAGAATTTCTCTTCTTCAGAAGAAAAAAAATGGAGCAACCAACCACATTGGCAGAAGCCAATCGAGAAATTACATTAAATTTATCTTTATCTTCATCAGAAAGACCATTCCTTGAGAATCGCAGCTTTGTTAATGTCTGCATCCGACAAGAGTAAGGTTAATCGATGAATAAAATATAGCATAGCATTATGTCAGAATAGAGATTATTGCTTTGGATTTGCTTGAAGGAAGACACGATTAGTCCACTTCACAACGAGACAGACAAATCACAGATATATATGATTATAGACAAACAACATCCACTAACATCACTTTCTTGTTCCATGTAACTTCCTCTCGGTGGCTCAGTTTCGGCGAATTTTCTTCTTCTTAACCCCTCAAAAAGTTACAACAGCATCTCGAATGATCCAATTGACGGATATCCAGACATAAAAAACAACTTTTTCCGAAGAAAAAACAGAAATTCAGGAACAAAAAGAGGTAAAAATATCGAGAGAAAGTGCAAAACCTGGCCGCCATGGCTCCAGGTCTTGAGACGCGCGGAGAATGTGCCGGCAGGAGAGAAATCGGAGTCACCGAAAGCATGTTCGAGAGTGAACTGGATCTTGGAGTCCGAATCGGAATCGGAAAACCTCCTCCGGATGGTCGGAGCCTGGGTCGGCGGCGGCGTCGGAGAAGTGGTGTGGAGGGGCTCGGCGGAGCGGGGTTTCGCTCCTTCGAGACCGAACTCGTCGTCATCGAGAAGAAGCTCGTCTGATTGGAAAGCTATGGAGGTGGAGAAAAGGAAACAGCCAAAGAAGAAGAGGATGGTGGGTTTCGCCATTGTAGCCATCTCTCTTAGATCGGCAAGAACAGCACCATTAGCAGCAGACTGGCGGATCCAAATTATTATATGGTGTTGCTAAATCGAATATTGCAACAGGAGGTGGAATCGTGGACCTTTTTGTCTTTTCACTTTTTCTTTGTTACAATTTCAGTTCAATCCTCGTAATTTTAAATAATTGTATATTTGCCCCACATTTTAAAAAGGATCTCAATTCTCCCTATTCCTCTGATTACAGAGTTGAACTTCTAGATTCCATTGGGCATCGAATACTTACACAGCGATGGAATAAATTGGGATTCGATGATACCGAATCGACGATAAATTTAGAATTTTTCATCGCCTCTCTCGCCGAATCAGAAAGAAATTTTAACCAATCCGGTTTAGTTAGCATTCCAACTGAACAATTTCGAGAAAAATAACATCTACAAAAAAAAAATACCAAATCGGATACAATTAAGACCAATTTGGTTTTGGAATTCCGACTTTGTTTGGGTTTTATCAGTTAAAATAGATCTAATTTGGTTTAGAAATGAAAACCGATAACCGGACCAAATTCCAATTGGTTTTATTCCATAAACAAGTATACATTCGCCATCTAAACGGTACATCTTCTATATCCTTCATAACAAGAAGCAAAGCATTGTTACAAACACATCCACATAAGAAAATAGGCACCATTCAGTAACTGTCGAGAAAGAAAACAACGGAGAGAGGCGAAGACGTGTGGTCGTGGGTCGGGTGTCAAGATTTTTGGGAGTCCTAATACACCGATTAAAATGTTATCATTGTCGAGGTAAGATTTGTGTACGATACACCCTTGGAATCCCGCTCAACGAGGACGTTTTGTGCACCGGCATGCTCTTTCTGTTTGTAAGCAAAAATAGCCAATGAAAGTAGTACCCAAAAAAAAAAGATAGAAAGAAACAGCACAAGCAAAAACACCAAAAAAGGGACAAATCTTGGGAACTTATTCCAGACAGAAACCTACAAACCCGCATCACCATCATTGTCATCATCATCATCATCATGGAAATACAGATGGCCTCAATTCAAACATAACAGCTCTCTCTTCCATCAGGAGTTTTTATTATTATTATTATTATTATTATTAGTAACAGGAACACAGTACATTGTGCCTGTCTCATTCACTCCTCTTCCTCTTCCGCTTCCTCCAGCCAATTCACAAACGGCTCCAAACCTTTCACAAACGCTTGCCTGCCATCATTTTTTAATCAACACCTTAGAGTATTACTTTGCTACAACAGCAATCTTTGAACGAACAAACAGCTGTTACATCTTAAACCCTGACCCCATGCATATTCACATTGGATAATAACTATGTAGGCAAAATCACAATCCCTCTTGCTGAACCATATTAACCCGAAAAACAAAAGCACCATGCACGGTGAAATACCTGCCCTTAGGGTTTGTTCCTTTACGGAACCAGTGGAGGATGGTGTCCTCGGCAAGGACATCATGTTCATAGAGAGATCTCACCACCTCTGGAAAAAGTTTCATGAGCTTGGCGTCCTCATAGCATTGCATTTGGACTTTGTATATGAGCTCCAGCTGTAGTTTCCCGCTGGTGCAAAACGTGTTCAGCAGGGGCGCCCATGTTTTCACCTACGTAAACCACCACTCTTCAAAAATTAATCGTGTTTCTTAACGCATAAAGGGAGAAGGCACCATCCTATAATTCAAGCTTAAGAACAAGAACTAGATCAATTTTCGTCACTCAATAGATTCAAAGATTTAGCTCCCGTAAAGGCTTTTTTATTACCTTCTGCAGACTGCAGCTAATTCTTGAACATCATAAAGATAGGACAATCAAATAAAACTCAACCTTCATGGATCAAAATAAAACTAAAACAGATCTAATGACATTACTTATGAGCTGAACAGAAGAGGTGTCTATAAATCCAATTAACAGATGATACCATCTCAAAAGCCTAATCCTAGTCCTAACAAAAAAATTTACCTGGCGCAGAACAGAATTAGCATTTTGCTGCTGGTTTTTTCCAGACCATTGAACAGCATCCATTAAAACATCCCAAAGTACACGGACAATCTCAATATCTGGTAGTTTAGCATCTTTGATCTGCTGCTTCACCATTTCAATGACTTCATCAACATCAGTTCCCTCCGAGATCTGGCTTGTGAGTACAGTTTTAATCTCCTTCAGTTTCACCTCGAATATATTCTTCCCATTGTACTCCACCAAAGCTGTCAATCCTGCCTTACTAAAAAATGACAGGAGAACAAAACCATCATGTTTTAGTTCATTGGAAGCAAATTAACATAAAAATGCCCTCAAAGTGCACAGAGAAGGAGCAAATGCACATAAAAGAAATGAAAGAATCAAAAGAATGGAAGTGACTAACTCCCTAATCATATTAAACGCAACTAACTTCAAGCAAGATAACAAAGAGTAACTCACGTGAAATGCTCAGCGAAACTTTCAGCAGACCGCTTTGTAGGTGGAAAGAAATCCATAAGGTTATCTTCCATTTTTCCTCGTTTTAGAATTGAAATCAAGTTATCAAGACTATTCTCAACCAAATACTCCTTGAAGAAGTCTGTTATGAACGAAAGCACTAGCCCTTTGGCAACAAGATTATCTTTGAGCAACGGCTCGAAGACGGTCTCTGGAGGTAGCCCAGAGAGTCTTTGGGAAAATGCAAGTGCGGTGAAAATTGCCAGCTTCTTCCTTTCATCTTCCTCAAAAAGCTCCAGTGATTGCAAGAATCTTCCCATAACATTTTCGAGATTCTTTATGAGAAAAGGTTTGCGGCGCAAAATTTTCTGTATATAGACAACAGATGGTAAAATGTCTTCGCGCTTGGGTTCACAGTCAAATACAGAGTGAGGATGGCGCTCCCCTTCTTCAGGTTTTATTGTACCAGGTTGTGTACGTCCTCCAGTGAAAACGACCTTAAATAACACGAGAACCATACTTTTTACTTAAAACACAAAGTAATAAGGCAGAAAGGCAGCTAGCTGTAATAAAAGGAGACTAAAATCCACAAGATCCTGTAGAACATAATAATGAGGCATGAGAAATTAGAAAGCAACGCATTACAACCTCCTAAATGGTGGAATACATATATATGGAGAAGTATGCAAAAGGAGTTACAGAACAGATAATGAATGCAAGAGTAGCAAGGATGGGGTGAACACGACACGACATTTAAAATAACTTCCAGAATAGGACCAACCCAATTGAAACCCCAATCTTTGCAGACAGTACAAACTACAAAGGGTTTTGAAATCCTTGTTCTGCTTTCTGAACTTTCACAATAAGAGACCTAAGTATGATTATTCAATCTACCTGAACGACAAGAATTTAGTAAAATTTCAGGCATCGATCACACTAATAGAAATGTGCAGAGGCCATCATCACCAAATAGATCTGTTCATAGATAATTACCTCAAAGAATATGTCACCGTATCTTGAGAAATTCAGGTCAGACGATTCAATACTCTTGGCAACAAGTTCCTACAATAAACAAACAATTGATATAAGTTAAACGCAGTCACCTGAACAATCAATAAGAACGATAAATTGAATCTGCAAACATAACAAGTACCAAATCACCAGCATTATCGAGATAGATCTGGACCACTGCATCCGAAAACGCTGCAGGGTCTAGTGGAGCCGCAATATTCCTTTTGCGGGTCTTAATCCGCGTACCTCTGTGCATAAAGATGAAAAACATATAAATATAGATAGCTTCCAGACAAAAATTGTAATGCATACAAGCAAAGGTGAAACTTCAACTGCACAGATCAACACAAGGACACCGGATAGTGAGATCCAAGACAAAGACAGGACTAATTAGAATACTCCAAATTGGAAAGAACCAAAAGGTTAATGTTTACATTTTCCTAAACATAAGTTTCACTTCGTATGTCTAAAGAAATCAGCTCAATTCTATGCAATAAGGCATTGAAATATTCTTATACACAAGATGAGAAAAGTTCAAACATGTAGCTGTTTCTTTAGGGATTCATAAAAAATATAAGATGAAATTCTCATACCACATCGCTCTTCTATTTCATTTCATACACTTTTCCTCGGATCTACTGATAATGATATAAAGAAATAAAAAATGCAAGACAGACCCAAAGCCGAGCCTATAAGAAATTAACAAATATAGGGAACATTACTTACCCGAGAGTGGGTTTCTCCTTCGAGCTGCAGGACAAAACAGGAACATAGTTTATAACGTTGTAAAGGTCATCGGAAATATCAAAGAAAAGATTATCAAAAACAGACGTAAAAGGAGAACAAACATAAAGAAAATCAACGGAAAAGGGTTTTCATTTCAACGGAAACAAAGTCTCTTTTTTTCTTCCAAAAATTGGAAACCCTAATAACCAAAAATCATCTTCAAGAAGAAATACAGTTCTAGATCTCCCAATTTCATCAAGGAACAAGACAATGGCATAGAAAGCGACTGAAAAGAGAAATCAACTGATTCAGCAACGCTCAAAAACAAAATTTTTGCTTTTCCAAGGTGAAATCGAGATTCCCGCAAATGCGATCCGAATTATCAAGAGACCTAGTTGTCACATATCAAAAGAAAAATCAAACGAACCAACAACACAACGATAAACAATCAGAAGAATTCTAAACCCGCAAAAACAAGAAAAAGGAAAACAGATGGTTTCCTCGAGAAGAAGCGGAGAGAAAAAACATATCTTCAGCGATAAACAAAGAGCGAAGAACAGATCTTCCATAATCGAAACCTACCTCATAAACCAAGATGAAGAGGAATCAAATAAGAGATGAGCCTCGGAGCGAGACAGCGAGCTTGTAGAACGCAGAGTTAAGTGCGAATCGAGCAACGAATGGAAACGAACGCTAAAATGCGGCTCCTTCAGCACTGCATATATGCGAGAAAGTGAAATTACGAAATAACCCTTTGATAAATGACCCCGAAAAAAAAAATCTTAGTCGGCGAGGGCGGGTAATATAATGGTAAATCATGATTTGTTTATACCGCCGTTAACTCCCATTAAGTTATACCGTTAGTTTATCCGTTTGACACGTGTACTTTATTTTAAGGGAATTATTTTAACCATGATTTTTAATATAATTGATGAAAACCTCTATCCTTAACTCGTTAAAACAACGCTTAATGACTTAAACATCACCATTTGAGCTTCCACCAATTACAGCACGACACGTAAGCATTCAAGTAAAACCCTAAACTAATCTAATAGACACTAATTATGTTATCCTAAAATTTTAGAATTTTAATAATATTTTAGATGAATATAAAAATTAATATGTAAATATTATAAGATAATTCTAATTCTATAATAATCTCAATTAACAATTACGCAATTCAATTCATTTATAAATACGAGGGATATAATTTTTTAAAGTTTATAGTTGGTGGGATAGTAAGTTTTTTTTTAATTTCAATAGTATTTTACATAGATTTTTTATGTGTTTGATTTGAATTTATGAACTAACTTTCCCCTTATTAAAGGAAAAATATCTATTAGCTATATCAAAATTGAAAGAAAAAAAACAATCCAAACTTTGTTAATTTAACCGATGAAATAGAACACAAAACGTTTTTCTCGTTCTAAATTTAATTTAGAGAGAACATATAATACAAATCACATAACTGATTTCTGATCACATAATTAATATGGGTCTTAGTTTATGATACCTGGTTATTCTAAAAAAAAGTAGAGGAAGAAAATTTAATTAAGAATATGCCTTGTTCGAGTTTTCATATTCTATGACGAGGAATGGTGTAATTTAATTTAATTATAATAAAATTATCTTTTGATTTAGTATAGTTGTAGTTGAGTCGGAGGTTTATTGAACATGATGAAACGAAGATCACCATGAATAACGAAATACAAAGAAGAAAGAAGATAAAGAAACATCCCCTCTATCTTGCAACGTATTCACTACCACGTATATAGGGATGTGTACAAACACTATTTGAATGATAAGAAAAAGGGATATTTGTACGCTTGGTTTGTGATTATTTTATTCCTTATGCGTTCTACGTGGCAATGTCATTTTCTGCATATTTTTTACGTGATTCTTCCAATAAAATCAAAGGAAAAAAAGACAAAAAAAAAAAAGAGGTGGAGAAAGCACAAGTGGACGAATAAAATGGCATTATTATTATTATCATTAATAAATAAAATATTACAAAATTTATTTATTATTGTTAAATAATTATGATTATATAAATTTAAATTTTTAAAATTTAAATTATAGTTTTAATTAGTTAAATTTTATAAATGAAGAGAAAATCGAAACAAATTGGATTGTTATTATTTTATTCCTTCTGCATATATCATTATTTGCTCTGTAAAAAAAATCAAAATTGTCGCTGTCTTTAGTTAATCTGTCATTTTCTACACACGTTTCACGTGCTTCCTCTATAAAACAAAGGAAAAAGACAAGTGGGGAAAAGGACAAATGGACGAATTTAATGGCAGCGCGTTGATTGGCCACACACACTATAAATACTCGCACTCTCATCCGCTTCTCCTCTCACAACTCACCATCTAGATACTATCGGGAGACTGGTACCACTTCCTGATTCTCAACCATGTCGACGCCGGGGAAGAAAACCACCGCTCCTTATGGCTCGTGGAAGTCTCCGATCACAGCCGAGATCGTAGCCGGAGCTTCCAAGAATCTCAGCGGTACCGCTGTCGATTCTCGCGGCCTTCTCGTCTGGCTCGAGTCTCGCCCCGAAGAGTCAGGGTATTCAAACGTTTCCTAATTTTGTGTTGTATGTGGTGTGTGTACCTGCAAAGTTATTTGGGTATTTGACAAAAAAAAAAGAAGAAGAAGTTAATTTGGGTATGTTATTCATCTCAACGTCGATTTGGCTTCATATTAGCCATGTTTCTCCTATAATTGTGAATGGGAACGTCAAATTGGGGGTTTTGTTGTTCTGGTTTTAAGAATCTTTGCCAATAATTGAAGGGTAGAGGGTTCATTCTCAACCATGCCGACGCCGGGGAAGAAACCCACCGCTCCTTATGGCTCGTGGAAGTCTCCGATCACAGCCGAGATCGTAGCCGGAGCTTCCAAGAATCTCAGCGGTACCGCTGTCGATTCTCGCGGCCTTCTCGTCTGGCTCGAGTCTCGCCCCGAAGAGTCAGGGTATTCAAACGTTTCCTAATTTTGTGTTGTATGTGGTGTGTGTACCTGCAAAGTTATTTGGGTATTTGACAAAAAAAAAAGAAGAAGAAGTTAATTTGGGTATGTTATTCATCTCAACGTCGATTTGGCTTCATATTAGCCATGTTTCTCCTATAATTGTGAATGGGAACGTCAAATTGGGGGTTTTGTTGTTCTGGTTTTAAGAATCTTTGCCAATAATTGAAGGGTAGAGGGTTCGACGACGTTCGTTAATTTGTTTATCCATTCGCCGATTTGACTCGGCGATATATGTACAAACCTGAGTTTTTAGAGTTCTGGTTTTAAGAATGTTAATTTGTGTGTTTTTCATCCTTATGCCTCTTTGACTTCAGATTCTGAAGTGGTAACTAAATTTTTGCTTCTGAATTAGTTCCGGTTCTTGCATGCTTATGTTGCGAATGTCAAACTTGACTTTGGATCCGAAGTCGATACCGCATTCATGCTTTTGTGTTAGTTCTGTTTCTTCTGTGACTGTGATAAGAATGCCGAACCGGGCGTTTCTAAAGTTCTCATTTTAAGAATCTTTGGCAATGATTGAAGGAGAGTGGTTCTGGTCCGAGAAGGTGCCAAACCAGGAGATGAACCGATTGATATTACGCCGAAAGGGTTTTCCGTTAGGACTCTAACTCAGGAGTATGGTGGTGGTGCTTTCCGGATTTCGCCCGATGACACGCTCGTTTTCTCCAATTACGAGGATCAGCGACTCTACAAGCAACACATCAATCCCACAGGTGCTTTTATATATATCTTCTAACATAAATGACTCTGTAATTGTTTAGGTAGTTTTACAAACTTGCATATATCATGAAGCAGGAATCAGGATTGTATAAATCCTGTATTTCTGCAGTCTTATTATGTAAAGTGGATTGTTTCCTGTTACCTTGCCAATTTCTCATGCTACCTATACGGTGGGTGCTGTGCAGATTCATCTCCTAGACCAATCACCCCAGATTATGGTGCACCAATTGTCACTTATGCTGATGGAATCTTTGATGCACGCTTTAACCGATACATTGCTGTCAGGGAAGGTTGGGTGCTTCGAAAACTAATTAGTATAGGACGTTTTCCGACGTCAATTATTGACCACAAATGTCCTCATTTCTTGTAGATGGTCGTCAGAGCAGATCAAATCCAGTTACTACCATAGTTGAGATCAATCTTAGTAGAGAGACTCTTGAAGGTGTGATTTTATTGCCAGTAGATTCATTGTTGTGTTTCAGCTTTACTTATTTTGCTAATGCGTGCAAAAGGTGAGGCTCTCATGGTGTTCTTTTACGAAACCCAGAACCAAAAGCACTGGTGAGTGGCAATGATTTCTACGCATTCCCACGCCCGGACCCAAAATATGAAAGGCTAGCGTGGATTGAGTGGTGCCACCCTAACATGCCGTGGGATAAAACAGAGCTGTGGGTTGGCTACATTTCTGAGAACGGGTAATAAGGCAATGACAAAATCTAGGGAGTCATGTGCTTATTCTAATCTCATCTGATACCTCTTTATGGGGATGATATCCTTATGTATAGTTGTCTGTTTTCCGCGCATGTGTTCTATTGATCTTTACTAAGCTTTTCTGCAGAGATATTTACAAGCGTGTATGTGTTGCTGGTCATGATCCCGAATATGTGGAATCGCCCACCGAACCCAAGTGGTCATCAAGAGGTACTTGCATATCCGTGAAATAGATGCCTGAAAGAACTTTACGCAGTCGAGCCTTCCTTAAGTATGGACCTTTCTACTTAAAAGTCACAAAGCTTGTGATGAATCTGTCGTCTTGGTGTTTTCGGTGGATGTTACTGTCTTGGTTCTTCTAACCGATTCAGATTTTGTTCTATGCTTGGTACTTGCTAGACCCGTTACATGCTATCCAGAGTCTTATCAGTAATTTCAAACGTTTGCTTTGATTATGCAGGGGAACTCTTTTTCATTACCGACAGAAAGTCTGGATTTTGGAACATTCATAAATGGGTAAAATTTGTCGCATTTGCTTTGCTATCACACAGCAGTTGCATCTTTGTTCTCCACTTTTTTTTTATGTGTGTACAGATATGTTCCTACAGTTACTAGTTGCATAGATGCCCCATAAGGGGGCATAAATCCTCTGTTTTCCTCGTGTTTCAGATCGAAGGCACCAATGAGGTTGTTTCTGTGTATTCCCTGGATGCCGAGTTTACAAAACCGCTGTGGGTTTTCGGTATAAACTCCTACGAGATAATCGAGGGCGATGGAGAGAAGAAGTTAATTGCATGTAACTACAGGTAATACTGAGCATCATGACTACATCTACTTTCACTTTGTATCACTTTGTGATATTGGCTAGACTTTTGCATTACACATTTATATTTTGTTTACTAACTCTATCGTCGCTTCTGAACACAGACTGAAAGGGAGGTCATACCTCGGTATCGTGGATGATTCAAAGAGTTCTTGTTCTCTGCTTGATATTCCTTTCGAAGATATTGATAACATTGTAAATAGGACTTTTATGATTTTCGAAACGTACATTTTGATTCACCAGCGAATTCCCGAGTCGTTGAACTTTTTGTCTTCATTTTCACAGACACTGGGGAAAGAATGCCTTTATGTTGTGGGAGCATCAGCAGTTCAACCATCATCAATTGCTAGGGTATTTGATAGGCACCTTTTGCATCCTTAAACCGAGACTTAGTTAACGAAAGCTGTTGAACATTGCTGCTAAAAAATTGTGATTTATTAACAGGTGACGTTCGATCAACACAATTCGGGAGTGGCCAGTTTTGAGATCATCCGGTCTTCATTGCCAGATGTTTCGAACTATAAGCCTTTCTTCAGCGTGCCAGAGTTTATCGAGTTTCCAACAGAGGTTCCGGGACAGAAAGCTTATGCATTCTTTTATCCTCCATCCAATCCCTTCTACCAAGCTAGCTCGGAAGAGAAGCCTCCATTGTTGGTAAGAAGTCATGGTACGTTCCCTCTTCTATGCACTTGGCTCCTCACTCGTTCTCTTATATCGACTATGTTCTTTCACCGTCATCATATGAAACTACAGGAGGACCCACCGAGGAAGCACATGGATCTCTAGATCTGAGCATCCAGTACCTGACGAGTCGGGGATGGGCATTTCTTGATGTCAATTATGGTGGAAGCGCAGGTTTTCTTCTCAACAACTAGTATTAGTTTCACTTGATGCAATTCACTTTTCCTACTAGACACGGGTGATATCGTTCTGAAGGTTATGGTCGAGAATATCGGGAGCGATTGTATGGGAAATGGGGAATTGTAGATGTTGGTGACTGCTGCAGCTGTGCTAATTACTTGGTATGGTCATTCTCTCTTCCTTCTACATGTATATATAGCCATGACACTTTTGGAGAATAACATCAAAACATTTTTTTGGCATGCTTAGGTGGCTAAAGGGAAGGCCGATGAAAAACGACTGTGTATAAACGGAGGCTCAGCGGGAGGGTACACGACTCTCGCTACATTGGCATTCAGGGATGTGTTCAAAGCTGGAGCTTCCCTGTATGGCGTGAGTGTACACACTGCATTTTAATCTAAAACTGATTTCATTCATTTGGCAGAGCTGAAATCTATATAAATCTATTCCTTGGCTACTGCTATACAACGGGGTTGCAGATTGCTGATTTACAGATGCTAAGAGACGAAACTCACAAATTCGAATCTCGTTACGTCGACAATCTTGTGGGTGAGTCAAAATGCCTTGATGACACAATCTTTCTCCGTTTCCCCTGCCGCAAGTCTACTGAAAATTCCTTGGCTGATTGCAGGAGATGAGAAGGATTTCTACGAGAGATCGCCGATCAATTCTGTTGATCGATTTTCTTGCCCCCTTATCCTTTTTCAAGGATTAGACGACAAGGTCTCATCTCTTTCTACCTTCTAATGTCTTTGTCTTTAGGATATATGGATGAAGCCTTTGTCAAAAATTTCATCCTTACATTGGTAAGTTTCGAGTACATATGGTTTTCCCGAGGTTTAAAATCTTCCGGATGACTAGAACTTTGTTATTATCCGATTAAGTCAGCACGATATTACCTAAGATTAGATGGCTCAAATGGTAAAAAAAAGAGAGAAAAACTCCTTTCTAACCCGGGTTCGACCTTTATTTTGGGAAGGGTATTTATCCGGATTTATTCCGTTTTCTGGAGAATTTAGTGAAACCAAAGATCTGATAAACTTCCGCATTATAAAAAAAAAAGACACGCGATATTGATATCTAAAAACATGGGTTTCTTGCAGGTTGTGCCTCCGGATCAATCTCGTAGAATCTATGAAGCAGTGAAGAAAAAGGGTCTGCCCGTCGCTCTGGTCTTGTACGAAGGCGAACAGCACGGTTTTCGCAAGGTATATGTCTCTTCGTTCACACCTTAATATACCGTATTTCCCGAGTATAGAATACGTATAAACATACGGTTCCCCTCTGTATGTGGTGCAGGCTGAGAACATCGTGTACACACTGGAGCAAGAGATGGTGTTCTTCGCACGGGTCATTGGAGGGTTTCAAGTTGCTGATGACATCACCCCCCTGAAAATCGACAACTTCGACCCCTAATATTTGCTACTCATTTTATATGTATAATTACTAATTATATATATGTGTACGCTACTCGTGTGGTGATTATATTATATTTTAGTAAAACATATAAACATATTAGCTTGTTATCGATTTCTAAATTAATACACGGGTTTTATAAGTTCTGTTTTTTTTTTGGGAAAATATATTTTTTTTCTCGTAACTCTTAATCAATATTTCCATAAAAACTGTACGATATTTGATATTGTTTCTGGTTGGAAGTTTTCGTAAATTGTTCCATGAATTATTATTATTATTATTACCTTTGCATTGACACTATAAACAGAGAGCTTAAAATTAAAGCAGTTTCGGTGTACATTTTTCGAGTTCTTTCAGCTATTATTCAGCAAATACAACTTCTTTTTTTTTTGGTATAACAGCAAATACAACTTTGATTCCTTCTCCTCACACTTCCTGAATTCAGGAACAATGGGTTTCATCATCATCATCATCATCATCATCATCATCATACAAATCCATTTGGTAAACACAGCTTCCATCTACACAAAAATCCAACTGCATGTACACCAAAATCTCTTTTAGCCCTTACGGCAGATCAGATTATTGGGCCAAAGGAAGTGATCAAAGAATGGAGACACCCAGTAACTATGGTTAGATATATGGTTTAAAAGTAAACGTCCCTCCGAAATCAAGACAACACACAACGCATCTTTATGAACCGACCAAGCTTCCTCCTTTCGCAACAAGTGGGTTTTGGTTAGATTCAACTGGGTCGGATTCGGATTTGGGATTATATCATTCTTCGTTATCATCGAACTGAAACTGAAACCAAAACTCGGCTCCGTTTCGGTCCGGTCCGGACGAAAACTAGATCCTCGAGTCTTTTCGCTATTAACAGGCGCAGACATCATTCGCATGGGAATGGCAGAAAGTTGCAGAGCCGCCCGCACTGAAAATATTCCATTTATTTTTCCTCTTTTTTTTTTTTTTTTAATTTGGGTATTTATGTGTATGGGGGAGAAAGTGCAGACAGGTGGATAAGGGAAGCAACAGCCACGTTTACGTAAGCAACACAGAAACCTTGCCGCCATGTGCAGACCCTCTCTTTTATCTTCCCAACGCGTGTCACTCTCTTCTCGTTTTTGTCACTTCGCCGACTCCTTTCAAGTCCCTCTCTCACTGCTTTGCCCAATTTTGATCGGCGAACTGCGATGAGATCTTCGCTTATCACCGTCCTTGTCTTCGCCTAATCTCAGGTTTCGCCTTGTCTTGCTTTGTGGGTTCTTTGTATTCATTTGTATTGTTTCGTTTGATTAAATTCCCCTAATTGTTGTGAGAGTTTCTGGGTTTCCGTTCGTTGATTATGAAGCTTAGGAAAGGAAGAAAAATGGCATATAGTCTACTGTTAGACTCTTTAGTCTATGATGGCCATCAAGAGAGCTTATTACTGAAAAGGGTGTAGCATAAAGATAGTTTTACTTGCAAAAAGCATTATGAATTTTCCTGGTGATATGTTTGTTTGTTGCTATTTCAAGAAAAAATATGTATGAAACTTTGCCTCTTCTAGAAAAAGTTATCATTTTGACAGTGTTTGTTAGTAATTAGTCCGCTTGATTAGCAGGATGGAAGGCCCTGCCATGGACTGGAAGACGGAGGAATACCCGCCTCATGAGGGCGATGACAAGATGGCTTGGGTTTGGAGCAAAGGAGTTAGTTTGGGGAAGAAGTTTCTTGTAGCAGGTGTTGTAATGTCTTCTGCACCACTCATAGTTCCTCCTCTTGTTGTTGTCTCAACTATTGCGATGATCTCCTCGGTCCCTTATTGTCTCTTCTTGACGAGCTATGCTTGTACCCAAAAGTTGATGAACACGTTGCTCCCCTCTTCTGCTTATGATGGTGAAAGTGAAGAATTCGGAGGCGTTGTTAAGGATGAATTTGGATTTGAGGAAGACGTTATGGAAGACAACAAGCATGGTCATGTCGATGGTGAAGGCATAACGGGAGTGGATGAGGCTGAAACTGTGACAGATATGGATAAACCCTCCCCTGTTGAGGTCAATCCGATTCTCATTCAGGTTGAAGGAGAGGAGGTAACTGTAGCAGATACAGGAGAAGAACCAACCTTTCAAGTAACTGACATATTTGTGGCCGCATATGAACGCCCTGGTGTCCCGGAGAATGAGGAGATGGAGAAAGAGACGAGGAAATTGATAGAGAGTATTAGGGATGAGGGTCGAACGGATAAGGTGCATGGAAGAACCCTTGAGAAAGCTTTACAAGAGGATGAAAAGCCAATAGTTTCTAGTGAAGTCAAATCAGAGAAAGTTGGTGAAAGCATAGAGGATCTGCCAGAAAAAAAGGAAGGGCAGGAGACTATAAACCCTGAGGAAAAGGGAGAAGCTGATATACAAAAGCTGGAGGAACATGAAGGTGGTTTGCTTTGAAACTGCAAACTAGTGTTTGTCGTGGTTATGTCTTTGAATCTTTGACAATAGCTTATGAATCTCTGGGCTTTTGCAGGGGAGCATGAATCCACAGTAACTGAAACCTCTACCTCGACAGGAAAGGATGAGGAAACGATTCCAAGCGAGGTTAGAGCTTCCTCCTATAATCGTGGAAATTAATATCTGAATTAGAACATATCATCCTTTCATTGATTCTTGTGTTAATTTTGTGTGAATTACTTGTCTACATGCTCATATCTGATATACTCTCGGTGATAGTTATTATGGATTAATTGAGTAATGGTGCTTGATAGTTAGCTTTTTTAGACCAATTGACTAGTGTTGTTATATGGATTTGTTTCTTGTGAGTGCATGCTGCTTGGTGGTATACTTGCAAGGTGATGGGCCATCATCCATTGTCAGGGCACTAGCCAATGATATTACGTTATTAACAAAAAAATGAAAATTTTGCACTTTCTCGTATATTGCAATAGCTCTGTTCCTTTTCGCGGAAGGGGTGGATTTTTGTGGGTGAATGCCTCTCTAGAATCAATACACATGGCAGCTTGAGGGTAAACTAGGTGTTGTAGCAACGCATAGGATTTTGTTAAATCTCTCCGGTATATCTGCATGACCCCGCACAAATCAAAATATGGGCTGGTCGATATATATTTACCCTGATCAACTTGTGGGGATTCATCGAGTCTAATATTAGATCAGTCTGTGTAAGTTAGAATTAATGCTAACGGCATGCATAGGCACATGTTACGAAGGGAATGGCCAGTTGATGGATGACTGGGGCGAGCTATGGCTGCTGAGGTCAGTGTCGAAAGTTGTGTTATGATCCTATCACAATGGGACTAGTTGATAGTTCATAGGCGTCATAACACAACTAGTCTCATTACATGTTATATAACACAACTCCCGACACTGACCTCAACAGCCATAGCTTCATCCCGGTTCATCCCTTGCCGGGCCATTCCTTTTGATTTTTGTAACATGTGCCTCCCTATGCATGCCGTTTGAAATAACCAAACGTTTGCTAACTATGGGCATCACCTCCTTCCTTCGCTTTCAAGGTAAGTTCTAACCATGGGCTTGTAGGATCGAATTGAACATAGTATACAACGGCTTGAGTTTAGTTAGTGTTGTGTCCACATCAACCCTTACAATTCCATAGTTAAAAAAAACTCACAGTTAAAAGCTAGTTTGCAAAGGGTAGAATATGGAATCTTACAAGGCAAGAACACGATCTGTCACATAGGGCACCGTGGGAACATAACACTATTGAAATCTTAGTTTCCTCAACCCATCTGAAGAAAACAGATGTGTTTCAACTTTCTTCTACTCTGGTTGACTAACTTCCATGTATCGCAATTTCTTGATGTAAAATGCTGTCAGTAACTTAGTTGTGGTATTAGGATTAAGCCCCTTGGACTGTGTCTTCTTTGCCTTACGAAATAGGGAACTAAGTTAGCTCACTCTAACTTATTGACTTATGGATTCAGCCATTAGACCAAGCTGTAGACGCGCCACATGGAACCGGGGAAGCGAAACGGAAAAACAGTAATAAGAAAAAGAGGAAAACCGGACGTTCAGGTAACCGGTTTTTACTCTTCATTCTGAAATTTCATGTTTTGGTCTCTAAAATTTGGGAAGTGAAAACATTCATAGAAATGTCTTGGCCAAGATTTATATCTACTGACAGAAACCTTGGTGTAAAGAATAGCCATTCAGGAACTATCCCCATTATTTCTAGGGATGTTTTTGCTGCCATATAGGATCATCTGTTGCTCTTCTTTTTCCCATGTACTACAAGATGATCTGAACTTAGTTCTCCTATGTCGGGTCTCTTGATTCGGTTTTGTTTTTGCCGTTAAGGAACTATCCTCATTATCTGTTGGGATCTTTTATTTGGTGTACAGAAAATCATCGTTTGCTATTCTATGTCTCATGTACAAGATGATCTGACTTCAATTGTCCTATGTCTGGTCTCTTGATTCAGTGAGTGTTTGTTTCGACACTGACCAATTTTCTGTAGGGATCTTTTATTTGCCATATAGAATCATCATTTGATTTTCCTTGTCTCATGTATTACAAGATGATCTGAACTCAGTTCTCCTTTGTCTGGTCTCTTGATTCTGTGTTTGTTTCTGCATCAAGGAACTAGTATCCCCATTATCTCCCTGGATCTTTGCCATAATGTACAAGATGATCTGAACTCAATTCTTCTCCTATGCTTGCTTCTACGTTGAAGATGCATTCTTACTGATATAAACACTATGTGCGTGGGTGAAGGTGGTGTACAATGAAGAACAGATACGGGAGAAGATCGATGCGGTGCGGACGATAGTTGGATATGATGCTGCGAAAGGCAAAACGTGCGCGGAGGAATTGAGGGCTCTTTACGTTTTCACGGGCGTCGAGCCACCGAGCCCGATGTCTCCGTCCTTCGACGACAGTGCCGACGTCGCTCAGATCAGTGATAGGCTTCGTTTTCTAATGTCAGTTATCGGAATAAAGTAAAAAAGAGTAGGTAGTTCAGTAAGTGCTTTTGTTGGGTTTTAGGACATGTTTGGTTGTTTTATTGCAAAACTGAATTGGATATGGTAACTGGTAAGTGTTTGTTTGTGAGTTTTTGAGGTTCTTTGGAGTTTTAATGGGGAAAAAATGTTGATAGGCTTTTCATCACTGGCATACGAGAAAGAATTGAAATAAACATAACAAAATGAAAAAGAATTCAGATCGGATTCAAATTTACGAACACAAAACATAGAAAGATTCGTAATCATTTCGACCAAATTAGTAACCGATGAACTCGAAATACATGAATGATAAATATTTGACCAAAACTTATAATAGCCTATGGTTTTCTACATCCTTTGCAGATAGCAGCTTTAGACACTGCCCGGCCATGCTTCGAACCACATCCCACTCGAACCCTTATTTTCAAACCCCGGAAATAATCAAACTAAAACCCTAACCCAAAATAAAAAACTCGAGGCTCGGACGCGGCTACTGCCTTCCATCCTTCTCGATCTGTTTCTATGCCGTTTCCCGAGCTGAATCTCTAAAAAGTTTAGTGGGATGGACGGACAATCAACTCTTCGTGATCTTCTTCCTGTTTTTGACTTGCCTCTCCAGAGCTTTCAGCCTCTCGCTGATGGAACCTTGACGCAGAACCCTCGGGTTTACGAGCGGATATCGTCTGGTCCGCGAGGCTGTTGCTTCCGGATCGGAGGTAGGGTCACTGCTCGGCTCTAAAGGTGGCAGTTCGGGAATGCCCAACACCTTTTTAACTAGAGGCCGCTTTACCGCTGCATAAGATCACAGCAACAAACAACACCATGGAATGGATCAAGGACATGGAGAGACGTGTTTTAAAGAAAGGCAAAATTAGGGAAAAACTAACAAATAAAACCCGGTGTTTTAAGTTTTTTTCGACATTCTATGACCTCACTTTTTCAAGGCTCGTTTTAGTACCCGAACCTGAGTTTTGTATATTCCACATTCTAATACCCAAACTTTATAAAATTGCTAAAAAAAGGCGTAGTATTGATCAATCACAACTAATAGAAAAAGCCAAAACTACCATAAAAGGTGAAGTCTCGAAAGTCTAGATACTAAAACGAGGGTTTAAAAGCCGGGTTTTAAACGAGGTACCTTTTGCATCGACTGATAAAATTAAAGAAAACTTACCGACTCCAAACATGAGGGTGAACAGGTTGGATGTTATCCAGTAGAAGAATAAAGCCTGTGGTTAGAAAACAGGACAAAGTTTTCACACGGATTCTGGTTCTCTATCGAGTTTCAATGCAAGTAAAAACAAAGTTACCGCCGGAAACCCCATCGTCAATGGGACTGCGAGAAATGCATATCCCCGGCCAATGTTTTTCAATAACTTGCCCGCTTCTACATTAAACTGGAAGTAACCCCAGATTCAACATCAGAAGCTCACTCTACATATTTATGATTATTCACATTGTTAAAACGAACAGAGTTTACCTCGATGTGCATCCAGGCAGTCAATCCTGTTAGGACAGGGAGGATATACAAGCTATCAGGAGTTGTGAGATCAGTGAACCAAAATGCACCGCCGGTCTGGAAAGAAGGTACTTTCTCTACCATGCCTCTAACCTGTGTCCAAGGAAGTAAACCATGGAGATGAATGCAGTATCTGTGATAAGAAAACACAATGTCGGAGAGAATCTGAAGAGAAATGGTCTTTACTGCGAGGAAGAAGCACAAAAACACAGGTCCCTGAATAAAGAGGCCCATCATAGGAGCTAACATAGCCAACGGACCGATGCCATGTCTGTAAAATAACAAACATCATACCAAAATATCTTCCTCAACAACCCAAAAATGAGATAATTATGTCTAGGGGACAGAGAAGTAACGGGAGCGGTCCTCATTTATTCAAAACCATTGATTTTTTCCAGAATCTAGTTTTGCCCGTTTCCACAAGAACCAAGCCAGACCACATCATATGACCTAATGTTCCAGAATCCATTCACTGAAGACATGTATCAACGAATTCCGTACCAGTGTGGCAAGTATATAACTACAACGCCAAAGAGGCTAGAAATAAAGGCTTAGAGTAAACAAAGAAAAAGTGTCCATCCTACTCGAACTGGTTAACCTAAAGAAAAATTTAAATCCTGCTTACTTCTTATACAGAGCCTCCATTTGTTGTTGACCTTCCGCGATAGAAGTTGGGTCCATTCCCTGAACAAAACATAGCAAGAGCGAGGGAAGTCAAAGTTAATAAGAAGTTGACAAATCAAGGCCCGTCAAACTGTACTGTAGTCAATATAAACAGTAAAAAACTTGTAGCAGCAGAGTAGCAAGAGCGAGCACGTCCATGAGGCAAATGTTAAGTACCTTTTTTTTCATGTCCTCCCCGATTGACGGTAACTGAGACCTCACTAGCTGCATGATCGCAGAATGACTACTGATGAGTGCCAGTATTAACATAAGCATGCAAAACAAGAATGAATTGACCGAAAAAATAAATTAATGTGTATAGAAATCTCTTCTTTTGTAAATAGAAGTCTGTTGTTGCACAAAAGTAAGTGCATATGAAAGAAATAAAAGAATCACAAATTAGATGGTTCCCTGTTTGAAATGGCTTCATATACATGCCTCAAACTCAAATTAAGTGGTGATAAAGCACAATGGGGAAAAGGAATTAAGAAACACACCATCAATTTTGTAGTGGCTTTGATCTGTTTAACAAAGAGTGGAGCCAACATTGCTCGAATAAAGAGAGTTGAAAGAACAATGGATACCCACCTGTAAAAGGTTAAAAATAACTTCCATGAAACAATATCCCAAGTAGAGATGCAATTCGCAGAAATTACTTGATCCATAAGACGTGGGTAAAACACAGCCATTTTCAGCTAAGAGAAAACATTCAATCCTATTCCATCTTCTTAATGTTAACTGTCACTCAGCACATAAAACAAACGTCCTACAAAAATCTTTCCTATAATAGGAAAGAGAGGCCGATCCACCCTCTGACAAACAAGCTGACAAAATGAACCGCGTGATCAGTATGCCACTCAGGACCAAACCCAAGACGAGTATTTAGGAAACGCTTGTTGTATTCTTACAATCGACTCAAGGTAGATTGACCAAGATGAACAATACACTAAGAACAAACTTCAAGTTCTTACCAATCAAGGCCTGTGAAGGAATGCACCATGCCAATGCAATTTCGAAGAGCATCAACAGGAAAGAAAGAATCGGAAAATTCATAGACTCCAGTAGCCTGAGAAGTCACAGTTTGCAATGTCGTATCGGTTACGACTAGAGGGATGTCTGAACCATCCCCATGGAAACTTGACATATAACGGTGGAAAGCAAAACCAGATGTAGGAAACAGAGACAAATGTGAACATCCCCATGACATTTGCGAGGAAGCTGAGTTGTTACTAGAGGATCTTTGATGAAGAAAGCTGTGATAACTTCTTTGAGATGGTGTTTGGCAGAACGACTCCCCATCACAATCGTTATTATGAGTAATAATATAACAAGGAGATGGCTGGTAGCGACGAGCACTAAGTGTTGACCTTATAGACAAACCGCGCCTGAAGGCCATCGCCGAAACTGAAGAAAAATAATGCGAAAGTGTTTAACAGGCAAAGTATATAGCCAGCTAAACAGGATGTGTGATCATTACCGGATAGTCAGATACAAAATAGCACCACAGGCACAACCTATAAAACTGACCCAAGCAGGGAAATGTCTTTGGTTTTTAACCTTAAAGACCAGATAACTAATCAACAAACACACATTTTCTGTATATAAAGAAGACTACTTTACATAACTCAGGTGAAAAGTTAGGAACAAAGATTTAAAGAAAAAAACAGAAAAAAAAACAAAGACCTGAAATGAAGAACATCGGAATTGTCTGAATTGCAGGAAAACAAACAGAGAACATGAAACAGCCTGTTTGTAGAAGAAGAATCGTACAATGTTCACTGTGACAGAGAAAATAAAGATTGTTGTCTAAACGATGATACAAAAACAAAGCAGCTACACTGTTGGGGGAGACAATTGCACAAACAGAAAAGTGTGCAAACCCAAAAAATAAGAAGAAGAAGAAGAAGAAGCAGTAGCCATTTTAAAGACAGAGAAGGGCTACAGCTCAGACTCTTGCTAGCTCAATCCACGTAGAGATGAGAAATACTTCAGACGAAAAATCCGATTCTAAAGACCCAATACGCTAAAAGCAATAAACTTGGGATCGACAATGTTCCTAAACATTGAGGAAAACCCGCTTTACAAATACCCACAACAATCTGGAATCGAAAAACACGAACAGAACTAAAACGACATAAATAGATTAAAAAAAAATCCTTTGCCCAAATCTGGGGTCGCTTGAATCCGACAGGAACAGAAGCCAAAATCGAATAATACGAGAAATCGATGGATCGGGAGATCGACGAGAAAGAATTATCAAAGAGACAGATCGGGAGAAAAACCTGTGCAAATTGAATAATACGGCTTCTGGAGATGCAACAACCAGCGAAAGTAAAGGGTTTAGGGAGAGACCGCGAGGGTTTTCCCGTCCCGGTGAAGAAAATTCACATCTTGGGGGGATTTACCCAAAAAAACAAAATGAGAAAACAGAAAATTAACTTATAAAAATTTGCCTTTGTAAATGTAAATTTCATGTTTTTTTAACAGTACGGCGAGTAAATAATGGTAACTACTAACTACTGGGGTTACTGTTTTTTCCCGATTTGCATTATATATTTGATTGTATTTCATGTCTTTCGGACAGCAAAAGTCTTTAAATTCATGTCTTTAATGGGGCACAAGAAGGAAGGCCAAACAAAAACTATTATTTTATTTTAAAATTCAAGAATTCTCAAAAAAAAAAAAATCTTACGATTTAAATTACTTATATCAAACCTTTTTTTTTTTATACATATAAAAGCCAACGTTCTATCTACATAGATGTATGGCGGACCCAGGTAAAACTTTAATTGGGGGTAAAATTAATTTGATCATATGAATAAATTTAATTAACAGGGGATCTTTAATAATTTTATTAAAAAATTTATAAAACTTATAAAAAAATTACAAGTATTTAATTGGGTGAGTGGGGCCTGTGATCCCAAGTAAATACAGATAGGTTCGCCATGTATCCACAGGCCCATCCACTTATTTTTAAAAATAAAGCTCGACCGGAAATTATTAAATATTTAACAGCCGCCGCCGCCGCCGCCGCAACCTCCGCCTCCACCGCCGCCTCCGCCACCTCCGCCATCTCCGCCGGCGTAACCTCCTACGAAGACGCCGCCCGCATAGCGTTTCTTTTTACGGCCGCCGCTGTCTGAGTGGTCACCGCAGAAAAAAATGGCCATCGAAATGAGGGTAATGGAGATGAGGAACGTACAGATCCAGAAAGCTCCTCCGGCAAATCCATGGAGCTTATTCTCTCCCCAATCCCATTTCACAAATTCTCTCGCCATCTTTCACTAACGTTTCCTTCTTCTCTTTCTCTTCTTCAATGTTCATGCCTATGGGTGCGTATATATATATAATATATGGATGTTTCTCCAAGTCCGGTCATACACGGCAAAGGTAGATTAGAATATTCCAATTTGTCATTATATATATATATATATATAAGCAATATCTAAATGCAATATGTCTTTATAATAAATCACTATCGTGTAGTTTTGGTTTAAATTGTATTTTGAATACTTTTTTTTATAATCAGGAGCATTTCTTCTTTCTCATTAGTAGAATCGAACCAAGAAGAACCGGTTTTGTTATCTCGAAATGGTTTTGTCAACTCTAAACTTTTAGTTCACCCAATAGGGAATCATTTGCTCTTTATTTTAATGAATGAAAAGGAGAAAATGTATTCGATTCCTAGCGTATAATTATTAAAATTAGCGGTCAATAATATAAACTATTGAATCTACCGGAATGTTAAGAAAATAAGAAGAAATCACCTGGAAATTCCTTGAAGAAATATTGGAAAATAAAATCTAAATAGTACAGATCAGCTAAAACCACTTTTCCGTTGGATAAGTTACAAAGAGCTAAAAAAATATTTCAATAACTAATAAACATATATTAGATTTTTAAACGCAGTCAATTGGTTATACATTCATATTATATTGAGTTCGACACGGATTGGACCATCTTATTGTTTCTAATATTGAGTATAGGTAGAAGGTAAAAGTATTTTTTATTCGCATATACTTTAATTAGTTAATTATAATACATATACATGTTAGTAATAAAAAAAATACTTCGAGATTTGTTTTTTTTTTGTCATGGTGGCACGATGAACACTCCCGTACTACTATTGGAAAATAACTTGTAATTGTGCCGACAAGATTATTTTCCAAACGATGTTGACATTTTTTTTTAGAGAACGTTTGCACAAATATACCATTTTTAAAGAGATTGAAAATCTATATATTTTTTTTCTCGCTCTACAAAGTATAACTTTGTATAGGTTTTGGACAAAAATATCATCATGGTTTGTTATATCAAATACATGTTATGCCATTAACTTTCTCTCTCTAAAAATTAGGAAATCCAATAATAGATCCAGTGTGTAAAACATTATCCGAATAAACTGTTCGGAATTGGAAAAGTTACAGAAATTTGATTTCACTGTTGTGTATTTGGGAAAGAAAGGATGTACAGAAAGGTTTAAGGTAGTCTGTTACGTGGTTGGCCGGATGTACGAGACTTGCATGACCGGGAGGACGACTCGCCCAAATGTGTATGAGCCGGCCGGGGCCCGGAATATGATAAATAGTCCGGGTTTGGGAGCGTTATCACCATCCAGGTTTTTGAACAATGTTCCGATAGGACGAGACATCCAAAGTGTCCAATCTATTCCGTCCGGGGATTTCACAATTTGTCCGGGAGGAAGACGCGGAGGATTGTGTAGATTACTCTGACGTCTATGAATGAATTCCACTCATCCGGTATTGATGATTAATTATTTTTTAATTGTAAAGTTAACGAATTTATTGTGTTTGTGTAGATGTGGTTGTATTCCGTATTCGATCTATAGAAATATGCAATTTATTACCCTATACAATGATAAAACCACATCTTCTTCAACTCGATTGAATCTGAATAGAAGACAAAAGAGGTTGTTGGATACTCAGTCTAAAAATATCCATTAACACAAATTTATCAACGTAATACATTAAAGAGGAATAGATAAGAGTTGGTTTATATGCTTCAATAAAAATAAAATAAAATACTATTTATTGTAATTAAGCATGGGCTCAATAGGTAGTCTAGGCCCAAAAATCTTGTAGTGGGCCATAATATTATCCAATCAGACAACAAAAACGACGACGTACTCGCCGCTGGGGTGACGTGTCATATGTGCAAAGGAAACGATCCCTCCTCTCCTCGGGATCAAGAAAGATTACGTCTTTTCGTATTATACTTTTTTTTTTTGTATATTAAATGAAATAATATTTCTGTATTATACTTTTTTTAATGACATTTTAGGTGAATTTGCGCGCGTCTTTCGAGGCCCAACTTTCCTCTCTGTGCGAGTCACTTTGTCGAACAAAGCCACCGACGGATCTTTGCTTTCCGTTCCGGCGAATCTTCGTCGCTCGCGGTCATCGAAGATGGCGAGACCTACAAGAGACGCCATCCGATCGTATATTTCCATCACCGGCGCCTCGGAGTCACTCGCGATTCAGAGACTCGAGGTGCGTTTTCTCTGTTCCTGTCGTCTCCGACCGAACATTGCTCGACTTGCAGTCCGCCGAATTGCCATTACCTGTGTGATTTTATTTTCTTCCTGTGATCTGGAAGCCAATTAGCACTGTCAAATTCGAAACGAAATGGCTTTTTACGTCTCATTCGACACCGAAATTGATAATAGTAGTTGTACTTTCAAGTGCCTTATTTCTCAGAATATGGGGAACGGATTTTGCTAGCGTTTCTTCATCAACTATTTTCCAGTGAATGACTCCAATTCGGGGGTCCAGTTTATTAGTTATATGTGGCTTAGGTGGGTGAGGTGTGTATCATGTGTTACTAATTTTGGGGACCCGTAAAGAGAAGTTGGTTTCTGTACAGAGGAACTACAAATCCAATCAGATGTTTGTTTTTTGCTTTCTAAGAATTTGAATTCCCGAAAACTTGCCAGGAACATGGCTGCAATCTCGCTGAAGCTGTCAATGCCCATTTCAGGGAAATGGAAACGATCATGTATGAGTTTTCACAGCTTTACGGTGTTTGAGATTTCTGTCCTTATTCTTGTTTTGTTGCATAAGCTCTTTCTATTATTGCCTCTTTCTTACTCATTTGTGGTTATATGTCCAGCACAAATCCAACTTCAAGTGCTTACTCAGATTACAATATTGCGGAAGATAGCCGCCAGGTCCAAGTTAGGGACACTAGGCAAGGCACGCTTCCTTCCCTCTTTGCGGCTGCTAGAGCTTTCAGGCCATCTCTGCTACTGGATCCCAATTATAGAAGGAATATCCTCAGGCAGATTGGCGTCTCTGCTTTTACTGGTAGTCCCCCACCAGCCTCTCATACCGGAGAGGCAACCGGGTTCCCTGCTTACCCGATGGGGAGAAATGATCAGACCCATCTTTCTGGACCAGGACAGATCAGCGATTATGCTAGAACGTCATTTAGCCACGGATCTCAAATTGGTGGTGAGACTCACAGAGATGATGGTTCTTATCTGTATGACAACGATGCCGAGGAAGAAATGATCAAAGCCGCCATTGAGGCTTCCAAGGAAGATGTTCGAGATGTACATGGAAATAGGAGAAATACTTTGAGCAGAGTATGATAGCCTGGCCTCAACTTTTGTCGAAACTCTCTTGTACATCATGCTTTCCTTTTATTCTCTTCTAATCCTCAGTATCTACATGTAGGATTCATCTAACATTTTTTCTCAAGATGATGTTATCAAACGGGAAGATGAGGATCTTGCTCGTGCAATTTCGTTGTCCTTGGAGGTATCAGTAAATATCGGTTCTGTTCTGTACCTGCTCATGTCAATTATGCATGACTTTAACATGATTTGGTTCCAGGCGGAAGAGCTGGAGAATGCGATGCGAGAGCAAATAACTGAAATTCAGCCTCACCATATGGAGGATTTTGATCCACATAAATCTGGCACTAATGAGATAAACACACCTAAGGTACCAAGTTGGATTTATTCTTGGTCTAATACGCCTCGATGGTCCTGTCAGTCTTCGGTTCCATAATCCATTTGTTATGGTTTTGCAACTTATGTTCCTTTGTCACGTTCACCTACCAACATTTGCTGGCATATGTTCATGTGATAGACTAGGTTAACCTAACCACATGATTTTGTTGATATTCTGCGGGAAACTTGATTTGCTGATTAGAAACTTGCTAACTGAAAATCTTCTGACTTAAAAGCCTGGGAGTTCTTCAGTGCACCACGATCTTGAAGACATTAAACAAAAGCAGCCAATTGTTAATAGCTCTCACCATGAACATCATCTCCAGCATGTCGAATCTGCTCATGATCCTGACAAGGTGATTCTCTGCTGTAACGTCTGATGTTCCTTGCCACAGGAATAAGGAACTCGAGACTTTAGCTTGTCTATTCTACTGGTGTACTTGTGTTGTGCTCTTCTGACCTTCCTTCTTGGCTCCCTGTCTGATTTATTGAAAACTAGTGGGGCGGTATTCCTTCAACGGAGCTACATGAGGCAATTATGATGGAGAAAGCACTTTTTAATGGAATAGCAAATGATACTTCGCATAAACGTTCGCCGGGACATCACACAGAGGTAGCACTGAAGCAAAAGGCTTAAAATTCTGGTTTAATCTCCTTGCTTCTGTTAGGTGTTAGAACTCAAATACAAAGAACTCTGCACAGTAGGTCAAATTTTTACGCAAATCTTGACTGGATAATGCGAGGTCATAGTAAATGTTTTTTGCTGATGGTTCTTAAAATCACCACTTTTGACTAATGTTATACCTGAAGTTTATCTCAAAGGCGCCCTGGATTACCCAGCCAGTGAAAAGCCCATATCCTAAGCATGAACATATTGTTTGTTCGTCTTTTTACAATTGCCTTGGATACATCACTGGTGGCAGGAACGTGAGGGAATTTCAGCTGTGAAAGAATCATTTCTTCCTGTAGAACCGTCGGTAGACAATGAAGGTGCAATCACTCTACTTATTCGGATGCCAGACAGTAACCGTCATGGACGTCGCTTTCTTAGATCAGACAAGGTTAAGGTAAAGTTGAGGTTACACACAAGTGATTCCTGTGGCATATATTTACACTCCAAACTATCCTGACAGTTTTGCTTGCTGAATTGCAGTATCTGTTTGACTTCATAGATGCTGGTGGGGCAGTGAAGCCTGGAACATATAGAGTGGTAAGTTTCTTATGAGTTCCTCCTGTGCTGGTTGCGGTTATCCTTTGGATACTTTTTCTAGGTGCATGCCAGAAAATTACTACAGAGCATTTAAATGTGACGACGTTACAAGCCTTATGGATTATGATCTTCTGGGTGTGAACAGGTTAGACCATATCCTCGACGTGCTTTTAATCTTGATGATGGCGCATCAACTTTCGAGGAACTTGGTCTTACCAATAAACAGGAAGTGTTGTTCCTGGAACTGATTTAGCAACGTAACACCAAAGACATGTTCTGGAAGCCTTAGAAACCGTATCTTTGATACTCATAGTAGTATATTAGCTCTCTTCCTCTCTGTCATTTGATTTAAGAGAGTTTGAATTGACTAGAAGGCAAAGCTGTTTGTGAACCTCTTGTTAATCTCAGTTCAGTTGCTCTTACCTTCCAATGCAATATAAGCTTAGGGTTTTGTGGTAATTGATCTCTACCAAGTATCAATATGCTAAAAAAGCTTTTTCATCGTGCTATTTGTGTAATTTGCCTGTTCGGTTTTCCTCCCCTATCTCTGAGAAGAGAAGAGGCATTCTGTGAGTTCTTTTCTGTTACTTCAGCTCTTCTGGATTTTTTGGTGACAACAAAAGCAAAGGTGAGGGGAATGTATGAGCAATGGAAAAAAAAAGAGAGGAGGCGGTGACGGTTGAGAGATCTGGTCAGGGGCAGGATTGGTCCAGCACTGCTTCACAGCATACAAGATCTTCTCCCTTTCAAGAGGTCCGTTCTCATGATCCCCTATTCTCGCCTCCCACTGCATACCATCCTGTTATCTCCTTCACTCTCATCAACACATCTCTGATTATCACACTTCCCTTTGGTCGCAGGATCCTCTCCATCTCCAACAATATGTCTTCCATCTCGCATCGTCCCTTGTGCAGACGGAACACCGAGTCTGCATGGATGAAATGGTACGTCCTCGGGTAAGTTGACATCGCCTCACACCTGTAGCATATACCCGAATAAAATGGGCATGAGCAACTTTTTAACAGCAGAAAAACGTAGTTTGATATTAGGACTCTCTCTTTTTTTTTTTACCGGTTCTGATAAGTGCCGATCAATCCACGTTCATAGATAACATCAAGGGTGTTGAGTCTGGCCTCAACAGGGACGACGTTCATGACCCAGACTGGTCATTGACAAGAGCAGCAGCAAAGCCGCCGAGATGAGCATTCATGTCAAGTAAGTTTCTGAATCTCCCAGTCTCAGCGAATTGGTGGTCGAAGCGCTTGTAATAAGAAACCCTCTTCTCCCACGTCTCAAAGTTGCCTACAAAGTCACCGGGAGTGATACCTCAGACTTCCGCTGCTGATCCTCGGCGGACCAGCGTTTAATCTCTTGGGTTATTTAGCCAACGCTCCACCAGCTAAAATTAATAGAATATATATATATATATATATTTAGAAGAATTAAATATTTTTAAAATTTTTCATATTATTTATATATAAGATTTCTGATATATTAACGTTGCCAAAAAATAAAGAGTTAAAAAGTTTACACGTGTCAAGAAAGCATTGGTTAAACTGACGCAGAAGAAAGCGAGGGGAACGAACGATTTGTCGTCTTCGACACAAGTTTCGAATCTGAACCCAGAGGCCCGCTGGTTCTAATTTCTCTCCCATTCTGCGTCTACAGTCTGCATCCTTTCTTCTTCAACGCAACGAGGACATAACTCTCGGATTCTCTCGCTTGGACGTGATTTCTTCTTTTCCGTATGTTATTCATCTCTGATTTCTGTGTGAATTTCTCTTTCTATCAAATTATTTCGATCTCGTTCTCGTCGTCGATGTTTGTGAATATTGGAAAACTAGTTTCTCCGGGTGTGTCGGTGGGCAAATTTCGATTTTAGTTTACAGTTCCTTGCTTTAACTTCATCAATGGAATTCCAAATCTGGGTTTTTTTTCTTCTCTATGTATGATGTGTTGAAACCTGTGTTCATGTGTTGAAGGCGCGAAGAAGCGGCGGAGAGACAATGATTCGACTTAGGGTTTACGCTGGCCTTAGTTTGTTCGCGACCTTGGCTGTGGTTTATCATGCTTTTAGCAGCAGAGGTCAATTTTACCCGGCGATGGTGTATCTGTCGACATCTAAGATCAGCTTGGTGCTTCTTCTAAACATGTGTTTGGTCATTATGTTCATTCTATGGAAATTGGTCAAATGTGTGTTTCTGGGTCCCCTTAGAGAAGCCGAGATCGAGAGGCTGAACGAGCAAGCTTGGAGAGAGCTCATGGAGATTCTCTTCGCCATCACCATTTTCAGACAAGACTTCTCTGTCGTTTTCCTCGCCATGGTCGTGACTCTTTTGTTGATCAAGGCTTTGCATTGGATGGTCCAGAAAAGAATGGAGTACATCGAGACTACTCCATCTGTGCCTACTCTGTCACATGTTCGTATAGTCACTTTCTTGGGTTTCCTCCTCCTCCTAGATGGTATCTTTATTTTCAGTTCTTTGCGGCACTTGATTCAAACACGGCAGGCTTCGGTTTCTCTCTTCTTCTCATTTGAGTAAGCATCTTTTCGCTTCCTTTTATGTTATCCTTGGAATTAACTGGTACTATTGGGCTTGTTGGGTCTTTCTTATTTCTTTGGCTTAGTGCTTAGATTGGTCAAGAATCCTATTATACCTTGGGAGAGAGTTATTAGAAAGAGGCAGTTGTCAAGAGGGTATGATTTTCTGGATATCATTCTTTACGATGTATGTTGAATCTATGTTAATCATGTCCCGAATATGTAGTTCTATGATTTTCTGGATTTTCTTTTACCTTCCTTTTTGGTTGATTTTTGCTTTCAGAGAATTGTGGTTTAGAAATTTGTTTTCCGTTTCAAACTTTCTAGACTCTGAATCATGCTACCTGTTGTCCTTTACCTTATAATTTTTTGTTGCAGGTACCTGATAATGGCAACAACAACTGTTTCGATCATGGTAAAATATGTTTTCTATGTCAGCGATTTGATTATGGAAGGTCAATGGGAAAAAAAGCCAGTATATACATTCTACCTGGAACTTATCCGAGACCTGCTTCACCTGTCTATGTATATCTGCTTCTTCGTTGTGATATTCATGTAAGTTTCCGATTTGAGTCCATATTTCATTTCACCAATCCAAATCTTAGATATCATGCCTGGGTGGAAAATGGAACCCACACTAACTAATCAAATCAATGATGCTGAAGTCATAGCAGTTGCTACTGTTAAGTTAGTTTTGTCCTTCTATCTACTCTATATAACTGTATATTGGTTCGCAGAGTAATTCTACTTGCACAGCACAATCCCTACCTATATTTTTATCTCTCTTGGCAAAATTTTGGTACTTTGGAGACTGATTTATGAATGGGAGGAAAAATAAGTTGCCACAAAATCAAATAAAGCATCTGATCAATCTATGAATCTGATATTCAACAAATTTCCATGCAACTTGTTTTGTATAATTTGGGATGTCATAATGATGCATCAATAGTGGTTTCAGGGGAGGAATTGATGGTATTTGGGGAAGGTTTTAATAGTTCTTTTACTGAATCATGTCTATTAGATTCTTCATTTGCTATTGAAGGACATATTTGCCTCACTTATCTTATAACATACAGTATAATGCATGTCCAGTTGAGAGATGCTTGAACTTTGCATAGTTCTATGCCATTTTCGTCCCAAATGTGTTCATGTCTAATTTTGAACGTTTACATCTATTTTTAGGAACTATGGTGTTCCCCTGCATTTGATACGGGAGCTCTACGAAACTTTTAGAAACTTCAAAATTCGTGTTGCTGATTACCTTCGATATCGTAAAATCACTTCTAACATGAACGATAGGTTTCCTGATGCTACTCCTGAAGAACTCATTGTGTAAGTTTCAGATATCCCCAGAAGATTTATATTTATTAGTTCTTGAAATATTTTCTTATCTCTTTGTAACTTCTCCAAAATCACCTACTGCTCTAGGAAATTCTCTACTGTGACCCTTCATTTCTTCCTTTTGATATGCAGAAATGACGCTACCTGTATCATATGCCGGGAAGAAATGACTACTGCAAAGAAACTTATATGCGGGCATCTGTTTCATGTGCATTGTCTGCGGTCATGGTTGGAGCGCCAGCACACATGTCCTACATGCAGAGCGCTTGTTGTTCCTCCTGAAAATGGTACATCAGCTGCCACCGGACAACATGGATCACGCCAAGATTCTCCTCAGCAGAGTATTCATCTTACTTCCCTCATGCATTTCCATTTAGGATGTCATTTTATATACTTTGCTGATGTTGTTGTTTGAGATTCTCGATGTTTTGAGTTATACGATCTCTGAGTCTGGCTTCTGTAAGTACTGGTGTCCTTTATTTTCATGGATTTTGGAGGTTTCAGTTTGTTTGTTTGTTTGTTTGTTTTTGGCAATGGGAACAGGAACAGGTGCTTCAAGTTCAGATGGTCAGCCTTCTTCTGTTGCTGCTTCCAGTGATAATTTGAGCAGGCACCATGCCAGGCTTCAAGCTGCTGCTTCTGCAGCTTCCATATATGGAAAATCATTTGTTTATCCATCAGCAAACACCTTAGCCTGGTATGTATATCTTACCATATACACCTGCATTTCTTGTTTTGCTGGGCTTTAGCACTAGAATTTAGAGTGGAGTGAAGATATGAATTTCCCGTTAGCTTCATAATCATTCATCCAACAGAAACAGTAGACCGCCTAACTGAAATGTCACTGCATGGCCTGAATAACAAGTTTTCATGCAAGAAAATCTTAGCAATCTAAGGATTAAAGACCAAGGAATCTCGTTCACTTGCCCTTTTTACCCGCGCAGCCATTTTACAACCCTTGTTATCCTCATCTAAGAGTATGTTAGAAAAAGAAACTAACACAGAGGTTTGATGCATTATTGCGTCAAGGTCTCCGGGCTATTCCGCAGTTCCTCAGGCGGGTATACCTGGTTCAGATGCCAATCCCGAGATCTCAGAGGCTCAGCTGGTGGAAGACCAGAGGAAATTTCTCCAGTCCCAGATTGAGGTAAGCCTCCACAGATCTCACCAAACGATTTCAACCTTTGATTTCCACAAACTATAATATTCTTCCGTCCAGTTGTTAATCATATGATATGACCATTGGATTAACAAAATACCTACTTTAGACAGAAGCATGCCCCGTGCAATGAGACGCCGGATTTGGAGTGTGGTAGTTTTAGTTTTTAAAGGTTTGATCTTTATCGATCCTATGCAGGTGTTACGAAACCAATTACGTCTTCTTGAGAAACCCGAATTCAAAGATTCCGCGGCAGCAAACGGTAACGATGCAAAAGGAAAATCGATTGTGGAGACGGCCGAATGAGAGTATAGATAGCCGGATAGGGAAGGTGGTGGATGGACTTGGATCGGATCTGTGTGTAAATGGTTCTTACCGAGAAAGTTTTCAAAGTGAAGGGTTGAACCAGACATGCATGATTTTGAAAGTGTAAATGTTATGCTGCTCTTCTCATGGTGGATCATATATGAACAGAATTATGATATTCCGGTCCGGTTCAGTTATTTTTCGAATAACCGATTGGGTATACAAGTGGAAATAGAGCTTGGTTAACTAATTTTATTGACGTCACGAATTGATTCACCAACCATTTTTTTTTAAATATTTACTCATCTCTTAAAAAAAGATCAGGCCGCGGTGAATTTCACGCGCGATTAGCCCGAGTGGGTGTTTACAAGCGCGCGTGATTTTTTTTTTTTAATCAGAATAAAAAGAAGATAGTTGCCTTCGTTTCCTTCTCTCCGTTTCGAATGCTTCCACTGATTGTGGTGTGTCAGTTCGATATTCTCAGATCGGACTATCAGTGTGCGTATTAGGTTCCAGTGTTGGATTCTCATCCTTTTCGGGTAATTTCAGTATTCGTGTTCTTCGCTGCTGTTGCTCTGATTTCCGATGCGTTGTTTTGTGCTTGATAGTTTGATTGCCACTATGGATTCAGCTCAAACGAGGTTTTTCGATTTTTTTAGGAAAAATTCGATTCCAGCTAAATCGCGTAGACGTTCTCGATGCCTTGCGGGAGCTGCATGAGAATGGAAAAAAGGAGTTTATCGGAATTGATAATATGATTAAGTATGCTCGAATCTGGAATTTTGTGTTTGAATCGCATCGTATATTGAGCTACTTCTTCAAATTACACTAAAAATTGTTGAGATTTCTCTGTCTAATTGGTGATGTTGATCTCTTGTTGTCGATTTGTGCCGCCGCATTTGTTGCTTCCCACAAGGTGTTCGACGAAATTACTCAATGGGCTTCTAACAATGAACAAGCCATGTGACAATGCGTGAATCTTCCATTTTGCAGGAAAACTCTCTCTTTTTTCATCACCGAGAAACATGAAAAGCTTGATTTGGTTAACAGCAGAAGAAGCCGCGAAAAACAGGGGACGGGTTCTTTCGCTGTACCGCCAAATACTGAGGAGCCTCAACTCCCCGAAACTGCAGCTCAGTTACGCATCGAGGCTCGCAAAAAAAGCCGAGGCTAGAACCATCTTCCTGTTCGGAGCCGAGGAGATATCCAAACACAACATCGCCGACCTTATCGACACGGCGGAGTATGCTCTTTCCCAGCTGAAACAGGGTAAGATCCCTAAGAACACCACTCAGTATTGAGGTAGTAAATGAGCTTGCCTTTGTCTCTCTCACTTGCAATCGACTTGGGTTAGGGTTAGGTTTTTCAGACTGTGGTCTGGTTTCGAGTTAGAGATACTGTTATAAGTGGTCTGAGCCGAACTGAAAACCGAACTGAATTCAGCTCAGATCAGTTTGTAACTTGCGTATCTGTTCGGTTTCGCCCTGCCCTAGACTATGAAGCAGCTGTCCCCATTTGCAAGAACTCAAATCATTGGCAATAGCAATCTTTTCTTCTTCTTTTGCATTTTTTGAAACAATCTTTGATTGACTCGGATGATACCGAGTCATAAAAAAAAATATATTAAGAATTTGACTATACACACATAATTAAAAGAATATCGAGCTTTTCTTTTAATGAAATTTCAATTTATATATTCATAAAAAGTTGCTATACAGCAAAAGAGACAAACATTCCCATACAGATAGATGGAGAGTACAAAGAATACATGTGTGTATGTATACATATATCATTTATAAAAGCAAATATAAATACATAAGTAATTGAAGAAAGAAAATAAATATATGTATATGCACACACAGAGAATAAAATCAGTTTAGTTTTTCGCAAGGAATTTGCTGTACCACTTGGCCGATTCCTTGGGATAGCGTTTGAGGTTGTCTTGGAAGTCGACAAAGTAAAGACCAAACCGAACGCTGTATCCTAATTGCCACTCTAAGTTGTCCGTTAAGGCCCATGCAAAGTACCCTTTCACATTTGCTCCATCCTCCCTGCAATATCATAAAAGAATATAAAAAATACCATTATGTATTAGAATCCAGATTCAATTAGTAATGATTCAACATTAGTATATCCAATGTTTGTATATGTTAAGAACAACCGAATAACACATTGAATCTGACTCGGATCCGATATAAAGACTGAATGATCGTAATTTTATTTCAAACCAGAAAAATGAAACCCGAATGAACTATATGAAAAATATCGAAACCAAACAAAATAGGAAATTTCTTTAGGAAATTAGCGTTGCATGTTAATAAAAACCTAAGCCGAACTAAACCCGAACAAAAATTTTACTCAACCTACTCCAACATTAAAACGAACTTTCTTAAAACCAAACCGGAACCCGAAATATCAACCCATAGTCTTTGGACTTACTTGATGGCCTTGAGAAGGCTCACGAGATGCCTTTGAACGTAATCCTTCCTTCCTTTGTCCCTGAGAGCTTCCTTAAGTGGTAATGTCTGATTGTTGACATCACTGTACCCTGTATTTGCGGAAATCACATTTATATGTGTATTGATTAGCTTATACATAGTGTTCAAAATTTTTGTAACAAAAGCTAACGTTCGTTTTACATACGAACGTACCATTTTCCGTGATGTACATGACAGGATTCTTGTAACGATCTTTTGTATACTTCACTATTTCTCTCATACCCTTTGGATAAACCACGACGTTAGCCGAAGCAGCCTGTCACAGTTTGTGAAAAAGAAGATGAGAAAACATATGCCATTAAAAAATCAATCTTATAAGCCATACACACACACACATATATATATATATATATATATATATATAATATGATTCATACGCACCGTTGGGCCGATAGGAACTCCATTCTTCTCGGCTGCGAATTAACGACAAAAAAACGTCGAATCAATACATATATATATAGAATCACTGATGGTGCAAGATATTAAACTTACTTCTCCTGTCAGCATGTGCGTCAGTGGTGTATCTTGGTTTAGTAGGATCTACGTTCTTGAGATCGGCTGCGTAGTTGGTAGAATAGTAATTGATTCCGACATAATCGTAGGAGTTCTTGAGCTTCCGAGATTCGCTATGGCTGAACCGAGGCAATCGTTTCCCCAGAATTTTCTTCATGCTTTCTGGGTAATCCCCATATGTCATTGGATGCATGTGCCTACGTACATATATACACACACATATATATAAACACATACAATACATGACCTGTGAAGTTATATTCGTTTAGCCCATGATATACATGCATATATATAGTGTATTTATAATTACCATCCATATTCAAAGTCGAGGACTCGTTGGGCGGCTTCTTTATCAGCAGGAGTGTTGCTGTATGGAACGTACCATACCGGAGAGTGCGCCATTCCTATCTTGGCTTTGATGCTTTGGCACTGTATATGTGTACCATTATCGTTCTTTGTTAGACATCGCGATAAATCACATGTTATATGAAATGGTGATTTCACGCACGTGTTTTAAAAGATCTAAACGGGAAATAACTTGCGTAAAACGATGATTTCATGCATTTTCAAACGATTTCAATTACTGTGTATACGATTGTATAGACGAAGAAAGTACGTACGTACCTTTTTGCATTTCCTGAACTCCTGGACTCCGGCGGCGTGGGCGAGAAGAATGTTATGAGAAACGATGTAAGGCTCGGTGGCGGAATTACCTGCCTCGCACTCGGGATTTACGAATTTGGAGCATCTTCCCGGAGCCTTGATGCCTCGATCGTAACCGGCCACACTGTACACCTTTGGCTCGTTGAACGTCGCCCAGAATTTCACTTTGTCCCCAAACTCTTGGAAACATATCTTGGCAAATTTTCTATAGTCCTTGCTGAATATGTTGAAATTACATCAAATGGTTGCGACAAAGTTTATTTCGAAATGGTTATAATTAATAAATGACATTTAATTGGTGAATTTAGTAACAACTCACACGACTCGACGGCTCAAAAAGCCACCGTATTTGTCTTCAAGGACTTGAGGTAGATCCCAATGGAATAGAGTTACCGATACTTGCAAGCCTGCGTACATACGTGCATGCATGCATGCATGCAGAGTTCATGGTTCGTTATATGATGCGGCAATAAGTAAAGACAATAATATATTGCTTTCGTGAGAGAAATTTAAAAAATATATATATATATATATATATCGAGCACTAGGTTAAGTTTTGTTGTTTTGGGATACGGGTTTTTCGAATTTTTTTTTTTTTATGTTAAATTGGGTTATTTTCAAATTTTCTATTTTTATATTATTTTTAAATTTAAATCAAAATCGTTTCGTATCATCAAAATATGCAAGTGGATTAATTTCAGAATAGAAAGTTGACCATTTTTAACGAGCTCGTTGATGACGCTTTTGTAGAACTTGATTCCCTCCATGTTCTTGTGGCTTCCTCCCCCTGAATTTACAAAACAAAATTAAGAAAAAATATTTTAATTAATTTTGCGAAGCTAAAAATAAAATCATTAATTCATACAATAATCAAATTCAAATGCACTTACGAGGCAATATTCTCGACCATGAGATCGACATCCGGAAAACATCGCTGTTCAACTCCTTCATCAGCTTGATATCGTCCTGTTACATCATGTTCTTGCGTTATATATATAAATATATGTATATCCATATCGAATGGTAAAAACGTTATAACAAGTGCGAGACCATTTCATTCAAACCACAATTATTTACCTTGTAACGATGGTAAAAATCAGCCGCAACATCCCCGGTGTTGAAGTTGTTTCTCGCTGTACAACGAAAAATTATCGATTATTTTCCATCTCTATCGAATAAATCCGCTAAAAAACGTTCGAAACCGAGGGAATATAACTCGAGAAAGACCTGGGAATTTATGAGTGAAAGTGTCCCATATGCTCGGAGACCTACCACCTTCATTCCACGCACCTTCGACCTGATCATTCAGACAAAACATCAAAAACCCGTAAAACACAAAAGAACTTAACCTAATTTCGAAGGTAACGATATACATATATATACACATATGTTTTAGATTTGTGTACTTGATAAGAAGCAGAGGCAGTTCCGAAGAGAAAATGTTTAGGAAAACAGCTACGATTAAACGAAGGGCTTTTGACATTGTAGCAATCCGGAGTTTTGGCCGCAGCTCTGCAGCTTACGGCAAAGAAAAGCCATAAACCGATCGTTACCGCCTTTCGGATCGCCATTGTTATCAGAAAAGTTTTCTTGGATTGGAAGTAATGATAAACTATCAACCCTTTATATAGAGTTGAGCTCTACATGAAATGGCAAACCGTTTTTTGTTTTAAGATCATATTTAAAAATCTATATATAGAAGAGTTTTCTTTGTCTTTGGCTGTATCTAATTGGAGTCGACAAAATTTTCAAATGGGTTTTTGTTTCGGTTGTGATTGTTGGCTCATGAACATGATCCTTTTTCTGGTCTACGTTATTAACTAAAATCTTGTCTGAAACAAGAGAGAGATGGATAAATTTAGATGTCCATGTCCATCTTTTTTTTGTCCCTCGTTCTGTTTGCTGTAGTTTTTGTATTTGTTGTTTTGGAATATGTTATTTTTGTGTATATTGACTCATTGTTTACTTTTAGTTAAGACATCACATTTTTTTTTCCATGTTGACCAATTTACATGACTTGTATCTATATAAACTTTTCATAATTATTCAGATAATATATTTTCAAATTTTTTTTCTTTTTACAGGGAAATATCCATTAACTTTTAAATATCAAACAACAAATCCCTTGAAACAATTAGATGATGATCATCATGGCCATGGGCATGTTGCAAATAATGACAGAGCAAAGGGCAAAAAGCTTCATCATCATGGCCATGGGCATCAATCTGATCCCAACTCAATAAAGAGATCCTAAAATGGGGCTAAGAACTTTAAGACAAAACAAAAATAAAAACTTTTTCTTAAATTTTAAGCTATACTCATAAATTGAAAGCATAATCAAATCAACCAAGAAAAGATTAGCTGCAAGGACAATGGGAATCATAGTACATTCATGATACCATCTTCTACTTCTAGTTGCTGCTGCTTGTACTCTTTTTCTTAAGCAGATTCTCGAACTTTCGGAGCAAAGGCTTATTTTTCTTGAGTTGTTGATCTTTTGTCAGTAGGCTTCCACCGTCATCGGGGATTTCTATTGAAGATAACTCGTTGGTGAGATGATCGAAGTTATCACCGCCTTCTGCTTTTGATTCAACTTCCTCTTCAACCGAGTCGTGCTCATTCTCTCTTTCTGGAGAAGCTTTCTTCTTCTCTATCAGGCAACTTTCCAACATCTTCGATTCAACTTCCACAGTGTCTTCGTCTCTCTCGTTCGGTTTTCCTTTTCCATTTCCCTCAACCTTGGGAGCTGGCAAATGGGCTGGTTCATCATCCACCAAATCTTTGTCAATCACTTCCTTGGGAGTTTCTTGAATGGTCTGGTCTCTGGCCGAGTGATGAAAAATCTCCGTTTTTGCTTCTTCCCCATTTCTCATACCATTTTCCTCGGAAAATTCTACAACTTTTGGAAGCAAGTCATGGTCTTTTCTTAGTGTGGATGAGCTCACCATTCTCTTGTTTCTTTTCGGTGGAAGAAGCTTCTTCTAGCAACTTCGATAATTCCTTAACCTTTTCAAGAGTTGAAGTCTCCCTGGCTTTTAGCTCATCATTGTCATTGACAACACTCTGCAGCTCGGTTTCTTTATCAAGCAAACTCTCTTTTAGCTTCGACAATTCCTCTATCTTCCGGGTTGCCGATGCTTCTCGTGTTTTAAGTTCATGATTTTCTGAAGGGCTCTTTGAAATTCATTTTCTTTACTGAGCCAACTTTGCTCGAGATGCAACAATTCCTCAATCTTCTTCAAAGATGAAGCCTCCTTGGACTTAAGCTCCTCGTTTTCATGAATGGCAGCCTGCAACTCATTCTCTTTCTCAAGCAAACTTTGTTCTAGATCTGACAACTCCTCAATCTTCTGAAGTGTTAAGCTTTTCGTTTTCGTCAATAGCAGCCTTGAGTTCATTTTCTTTATGGAGCAAACTTTGTTCAAGATTTGAAAACTCCTCGATTTTCTTAAGTGATGTGACCTCCTTAGATCTGAGCTCCTCATTTTCACATATGACACTCTGTAATTCATTCTCTTTAACGAGCAAACTCTTATTAAGATCTGATAACTCCTCGATCTTCTTATGGGATGAAGAGTTTTCAGCTTTAAGGTCTTCGATTTCAAGGATTAAACCATGCAACTCATTTTCTTGATCAAGTAGATGCTCTTGCAGCTTTGACAACTCCTCGATCTTCTTAAGATAAGCCGCCTCCCTTTCTCTGAGCTCCACATTTTCACGAGTAGTGCTCTGCAGTTCAGTGTCTTTAGTTGCTAAGATTTCATTCACAGTTGACAACTCCTCGATCATTCACAGTGTCTTTAGTTGCTAAGATTTCATTCACAGCTGTGTTTCTTTATCAACTAAGCTCTCATTCACCATTGACAGCTCCTCGATCTTCTTAACATAAGCAGTCTCCCTTTCTCTGAGCTCCTCACTTTCTTGAACGATGCTCTGAAGTTTGGTTTCTTTATCAACCAAACTCTCATTCGATATTGATAACTCCTCAATTCTCTGAAGATAAGCAGCCTCTCTTCCTCCGAACTCCTCAGCTTCTTGAATAAGACTCTGAAGTTTGGTTTCTTTATCAAACAAACTTTCATTCACCTTTGATAACTCCCCGACTTTCTCCAGAAAAGAAGTTTCCTTTTCTCTGAGGTTGTTGTTTTCTGTAATGACACTTTTTAGCTGAGCTTCCTTATCCAACATATTTTCTTTAAGCCTCATGCTCTCAGCTTTGGCTTCTCCAAGAGTTTCCTGCAGATACTTAACCTCTGTCACGAGTTCCTTAATATTGTTATTGAGCTTAGCTTCCTCTTCCTTTGCTGCCCGTACCTTGTCCTCCCTTTCTTTAAGCAAATTCTCCAACTTTCTTGTTTCCCTTTGCATAGAGGAAGTTTCTTCTGCAGATTTTTTCACACAATCCATCAAATGAAGTTGTTGTTATTCCCATCCAGTCTTAGAATTCTGGAACTCGTTCTTGGCATTCTCGAGAGCAATTGTCAAATTGGAGATTTCATATCTTGCATCTTCTAGCATTTTCTCATACTTTTCATTCGTTTCTTTTGCAGCAAACTTCAAACTTTCAATCTCGGCCACATGGCTCTCGTTCTCTACTTCACTTGTCAGGAGCTTCTCCTTCGCTTCTTTTGCTTCAGTAGATACTTCCTGCAAATCCACCTTTAAGCTTTCAATAGCTTTCTTGCTCTCCTCTTCTTCCTTTTTAAAGCTTTCCAACTCGCTTTCAACTTCCCTCTTTTCTTTCAATAGCTTCTGAATATCTGCTGCTGCAACCTTTTCATTGTCCACCGCCCTAGCTTTTTCCTCCTCTGCGATTTCAAGGTTAGATTTCATCGATTCAACAAGTTTTTCCAGCTTAGAACTTTCTTCCTTTGTAATGCTAACTTGACGTCCTGATTCCTCGAGATCTCGTTTTTGTTGTCCAATCGTCATCTCTAACAACTCTACCTTATCTTTTAGCATGTCATTTTCAGAATTTTCCTTATGCAAAACCTGACTGGTTTCCTCTAGCTGCTTCATAATAGACTCCATAGATTCTGAAGTAGATCTATTCAATTTGTTCAATTCTTCAACTTGTTTTTTCAGTTCATCGGCCTTGTTCTTCCACTCTGCTGCTAAGTTATTAGCACAAGACTCAGCCATTTTAGCAGCTTCTAGATCAACATGAATTTGTTCACTGGCACCTTCTTGCTCCTTCAGAGTTTTTTCAAGGATACCAACTTTTTCTAGCTCCCCCCTCAACATCTCAATTTCAGATTTCAGCTTGGACACCACCTCGTTTCCTTCTATAGCCACTTTTCTTCCTTTGAACCAAGCAGCGCCTTTAACCGGCTTAACTCAGAAGAGAGAATCTCAACCTTATCTGCCTGAATTTCAACGATCTTCGTCGCTTCCTCCGCATGGTAGAGTGCCTTGTTCTTCGCATCAGCAGTCATAGTCAATTCTTGTCTTATCCTCTGGAGAGTTCTTCTGTGGTAGAGAGGAGAGCCGAGATGTCAACAGTGTGCTAGTTTCTGATAGACTCAACCTCTTTCAGCCAGGCCTCTTCTTTTTTTCTGAACAGTCTTGATTCCGGCCTGTTCCAGTTCAACAACTCGGAATTTCTCAGTCTCGGAATCCTCCTCAGCTCGTTTCTGAGCTGCCAATGCCTTTTGAGTTTCTCATTGGCTTCTTCTGCTAGTTTCTCAGATTGTTTAAGACCATCAAGTGTCTGAGCTTTCTCTTTCTTGAGAAATTCTATTTGCTCATTGGCTTTCTTTAAATCTTCTTGAACTTGATTCAGTTGAGCCTGAAGGCCAGATAACTTCGCCAAACCCAAGCATGATTTCGCCAAACCCAAGCATGATTGCGCTTTCTGAAACATCATAACAAAACATAGTTCAACTTTTTTCACCCAAGAAGAAAAACCCGGAAAATGTTGTAGATGAATTGAAAGCCATAGGCAATCAACAATCGGTTTTTTTACATCAGGGCATCGACCATATGATCTTGGGAAGTTCCATACATAAATATTAATTCCAAATTCGGTGAGAAGATTGACAACGAGGTAGACGAGATCATGCGCGATGCGAGTGATCATCAGTGGACGACCATATTTTATTTTATCTTGCAATAAATTTGATAAAGCTCTTGAGAAAGAATCGAACGTGAGGAATATTCTGAAAAAATAATCGGCCAGGAGTTGTCGGAGAATCCATTGATGGTTTCGCAACATTCCTTCTTGACCCTACCGAGGTGTGTAGGATGAGTTCGATAGATGGGTGAAATTATGCTCGGATTGTTTCCACGTTATATATTTTTTAAAAATTATGCTCGGATTGATTCTTATTGTAGAGAGTAAAGTTGATTAAAATTGGTTATAGTTGTATGAAATAATTTCGTCTATGCGATGGAGGTCTGAATCGATCCAATATATATATGTATAAAGTTACTCCTAATTTCATCAATTCTAGCACCGGGAATTTGATAAAGCTCTTGAGAAAGAATCGAATGTAAGGAATACTCAGGAAAAAATAATCGGCCAGCAGTTGTCGGAGAATCCATTGATGGTTTCACAACATTCCTTCTTGACCCTACCGAAGTGGCCGAGGAATATGCCAAGGATGGAGCCGATGCATCCATCAAACGGTCTTGACCGCTTTCTAGCAACATATCCGTCGTCTCAGCACCATCCGGATCGATTCGGAGCAGAAAGTTCGGGTTTTTCCCGGTTTCTTTGGCCTGGAGTTTGATAACTTCACATAGTTATAGTTTCACCAAGTTAAGTTCCAAAAATGTGTGCAACTTTATTCTTCATGAAATCGAATTCTAGATTTCATTCGGCTTCTTCCATTTCGATTCGGTTAGAACACGAAATGACGATTGCTTGAATTTCATATTGTACAGGCATGTCTACGGTCGTACTCCCTAAATGTCTAAATGTCTGCATGTAAAGGACTCCGAAAAAGTTTGAGACGACTTTCTATAGTTCTTAACAAAATCCTTATATATTTTAACCTAACACGACATTATATACCATATAAATACATGGATTTATTATCTATTTTCAAATCAATACACTAAATTTAAAATTTTCAATACATATATATAAATTTATATATACATATTTTTTATTTTTATTTGGTATTGTTGGTAATGTTTTTGCATGATCAAACTTGATTTTGAGTGGTACAATGTTAACTTTTGTTTATGAATTTTAGGTTTGGTTTACATTATTCGAAAATCCAAAAATTTGGAGACATCCGACGTTTCGAGTGTTTGATATATGATATACTTGAGTCGACATTTTCTGACCGTTGGAGATACGAATCGATCCGAGATATATGTAAGTATACAAGTAGAAGAATAATAATAATAAAGATGAAAAGATAAGATTTTATAACATGTTATTATAAGCACTTGATTTGCTCTACAAAAGCATGCACAAGCTTTTTGCTTGGTTATTCAATATATTATTAAAGGTACGACTAATTTCATCATTTGTAGTGCTCATATGATCGAATCGGACCGGACCACAGAAATTCAGTAACCTCGGGGCGATTCTAGCTGGGGATATTTGAGGAGGCACAAGCCCTTGATGAAGAATCGAATGTAAGGCATGCTCGGAAAAATAATCGGCCAGCAGTTGTCGGCGAATCCGTTGACGGTTTCGCAGCATTCCTTCTTGACATTCCCAAAGTGGCCGCGGAATATGCTAATGATGGACTCGAAGCATCCTTCGACAGTCTTGATGGATTTCCAGCAGGCCGCGGGATCTTGGGGTTGAGCGTTGGAACACGAATAGACCGACGAAAGAACGAGGCCGAGCAAAAGCAACATCTTCATCGTCTTTTGCTCCATCAGATTCGAATATCGGAAAGTTTTTTCGATCTATTCGTAGCTTTTTTGGTGTTGGTTTTCTGTTTGAGTATGGATGAAGAACTGAGACATCCTGTTAGGGTTCTTATACTTGGTATGTGGACGCGCTATACATTGTATGTCTCGCTTTTCTTTTCTTTTCTTTTTTTTTTGTTATGCATGAATTTGCCTTTAAAGCATTGTTTCCACAAATATTTTTTTTGTCATTTTAGAAATAATATTTTACAAGTTCAATGTTTATTCGTGAAGGGGATCTTGTGTAAAGGGTATTTCGGATATGTTTCCATATTTCTAGCCGACCGTCTTTTATTTTATCTTGCAATAAATTAAAAAGCTAGATTTTATTTCGATTAAATCATTGGAAGTTGAAGTCTCGATTCAATTTATAGTTTTTTAAATGACTAATTAGACTTCAACTTTCCCTTTTGGGAAAATAATTTTAAAATTGTCATCGAATCTTTTTTTCATGGTTAGAATGGTTCGTAAATATATTATATTTTAAAGTTTGTAAATATATTATTTTTTAAAGGTTGTAAATATATTATAGTTTTTTTTTTCAGAGTTGGAGTGTTTCATCAGACCCTTGAAAAACATTTTTTTATATATACATAATTGTTATTATAACAAAATTAAATGTATTTTTCCAAATATCCTTTTTTAATATATTTTTTCTAAAACAATTAATAATCAATTTAGATTTTGAATATTTGATAGAAAAATACAATTATTAGATTATTTTCTCTATAACAAAATATAGTTGTTATTATAACAAAATCTGGACCTAAAATTATATAACTAAAGTCGTTATATATATAATCAATTTAGAAATTAAATGATAATCATACTTTATTCACAAAAATCCTAAAAGTTCTGAATTTGTATTTTGGAGTAATATTAATTTCTAAACTTGTAGAGGTGCCTATTAATTCCCAAACTTGCAAAATTGAATACGTTAAACCCTGAACTTGTTAAACGGTTCCATAATCGTTCATAACGTTATTTGGTCAAAAAAACGAGTTAACCGATCCGACGTGGTACATGACGTGGCAGTAGTTTTCTGAGTTGGCTCGCCACGTCACGCGCCACGTCGGATTAGTCAACTCATTTTTTGACCAAATAAAGCTATAGACGATTATGAAACCGTTTAACAAGTTCATGATTTAACGTGTTTAATTTTGCAAGTTTGGGAATTTATACCTTTACAAGTTTAGGAATTAATATTACTCCAAATTATAAGTTTAAGAATTTTTAGGGTTTTTTCCCTTATATAAATTTATAAGTTTTATTAATTAAGTTTTATAAAATGTAAAAGACTCCGAAAAAGTTTGAGACGGTTTTCTATAGTTCTTAACAAAATCCTTATATATTTTAACATAACACAACATTATATACCATATAAATACATGGATTTATTATCTATTTTCAAATCAATACACTAAATTTAAAATTTTCAATACATACATATAAATTTATATATACATATTTTTTATTTTTATTTGGTATCGTTGGTAATGTTTTTGCATGATCAAACTTGTTTTTGAGTGGTACAATCTTAATCCAAAAATTTGGAGACATCCAGCGTTTCGAGTGTTTGATATATGATATAGTTGAGTCGACATTTTCTGACCGTTGGAGATACGAATCGATCCCGAGATATATGTAAGTGACGCATACAAGTAGAAGAATAATAATAATAAAGATGAAAAGAGAAGATTTTATAACATGTTATTATAAGCACTTGATTTGCTCTACAAAAGCATGCACAAGTTTTTTCTTGGTTATTCAATATATTATTAAAGGTACAAACTAATTTCATCATTTGTAGTGTTCATATGATCGAATCGGACCGGACCACAGAAATTCAGTAACCTCGGGGCGATTCTAGCTGGGGATATTTGAGGAGGCACAAGCCCTTGATGAGGAATCGAATGTAAGGCATGTTCGGAAAAATAATCGGCCAGCAGTTGTCGGCGACTCCGTTGATTGTTTCGCAGCATTCCTTCTTGACATTCCCGAAGTGGCCGCGGAATATGCTAATGATGGACTCGAAGCATCCGTCGATGGTCTTGATGGATTTCCAGCAGGCCGCGGGATCTTGGGGTTGAGCGTTGGAACACGAATAGACCGACGAAAGAACGAGGCCGAGCAAAAGCAACATCTTCATCGTCTTTTGTTCCATGGGATTCGAATCGGAAAGTTTTATCGGTCGATTCGTAGTTTTTCTTTTCTGGTTTAATATTTGAGAATGGATGAGGAACTGAGACACCTTGTTAGGGTTTTTATACTTGGTACGTAGTCGATGTGCATTGTATCTCTCGCATTTTTTGTTTTTGTTATGCATGAAGTTTCCTTAAAGCAATGTTTCCACAAATATTTTTCTATCATTTTAGAAATAATATTTGGTGTACAAGTTCGATGTTTATTCGTGAAGGGGAACTTTGTATAAAGGGTATCTCCGAACTTGTTTCCATAGTTCTTGTCGACCGTATCTTGTGTTATATTGCAATTAATTAAAAGGCTAGATTTTGCTTTTCGATTAAATCATTACAATTTTCAATCTCAATTCAATTTATAGTTTTCAACGTGACTAATTATACCCTTCCACTTTCCCAATTTGGGAGTGTAATTTTTAAATTATCATCGATTTTAAGCTTTACTCGTCCTACATGTGTGGACAATACACTCGGACTCAACTCTTAAACTTTTACAAAAAAAAAAAAAAAAAAAAAACGAGGGCAGATGTAGAAATACTTAATACACAGGTTTCAGATGCCACAGCTTTCACTCTTTTTGACCCTTTTCGAATTCGTCGCCCACTGCCAGAAAATGATTGGGCGACCGATAACGGAAGAAGTGTCTCCTCCTTTCTCTCTTACTTCTGAAATTTTTCCCCTTTTCGCGCAGGTGTTATGGTGATGAGATGGCGATTGATTGCGCGCGAATATAAAATATGGCTTTAAAAAAAAAAAAAAAAAAAAAAAAACGGTGAACGACAAACGCCGTTAAATCTATAACTTGTCACGTGAGTTATCACGTCACTTAATAAAAAATAAAAAATAATTACAAATATATAATAAAAATAGTAAAATCAAATTAAAATAAAATATTGAATAAAAAAATGACAGTATATATTCATATGCATATATATATATATATCACATTTTTTTATCTTAATTTTAAAAAAGTACTGAAATGAGACTAGTTTTTTTTTTGTGAAAGAAATGAGACAATATTATATAATGGGAAGGGACTATATATTATACACAAATAGCAATATTCCTAAAGTCTTTTCAACCTTGAACGAGAGATTCCTGTCGTATGCAGGGAAGGTCCTACTCATCTCCACAGTGATTTATGGCATGGTTTATAGCTGGAGTCAGATTTTTCTGCTTCCAAAATACATCATGCGAAAAATAGATGGATTACGCTCTACTTACCTGTGGAAGAACACAACAACGAGTTCGGGGAGGGCAAGAGTTGCGTGGACCACAATATGTAAGCCTAGAAGTGAAGGAGGATTGGGAATCAGGAATCTGGCAGAAACAAATCAGGTTTCTCGGCTCAAACTGATATGGTCTTTCTTCAGTAAGGCTGGTTCGTTATGGGTGGCATGGATGCATGCATATATCTTGAAAGGGCGCTCGTATTGGAACTTTAAGTCAGATACTCACTTATCTTGGAATATCCGAAAGTTGCTGAAGCTACAAGATTTGGCTAGGGGATTTGTTCGATGTAGAATTGGAAACGGGCGGAAAGCTTTCTTCTGGCATGACGATTGGACAGGGCTAGGATCATTGCTGCAGTATATTGGAGAGGATCATTGCTCCGAATCCCGTTAAATGCACGCGTCCATCAAGCTACGGTTGGCGGAAATTGGTATCTTCCAGGAACCAGATCACAACGTATCCAAGATCTGCAGGTCAGACTTCTTCAAATCCCGGTGCCAACAGAGGATGACGGAGAGGACACATTTGAATGGAAGACATCGAATGACACATTTTCCCATGACTTCTCAACAAAGGCCACTTGGAGGCAGCTAAAGGAAGCTTCAAATAAGGTTGATTGGTTCCACATGGTGTGGTTCACCCAATCCACTCCTAGAAACACCTTTATCCATTGGATGGTTATGCAGGGGAGGCTGCCAACGAGGGATCGTCTACTTAGATGGAACATGGTCCAAGAAGCGGATTGCAAGCTATGCAACGAGGAGGAGGAATCACACACACACTTGTTCTTTCATTGCTCTTATAGCTCAACGGTATGGCGAAGAGTAGCGAAAGGATATGGATAGACCCGCCTAATGATCTACTAAGTTGTAAAACCTAGTTAGAAAGCATTCCAGCGGAAGATGAAGATAGGCGGGGTATCCTCGGCAAAATACTCATCCAGCAGACAATCTACGAGATTTAGAGGGAACGAAACAACCGTATGTTCCTTAACACGCAGACTCTGGTTGAGACTCTTGTGTCCAAGTTAGACCACTCAATCAGAAGTATTCTCCTTGCTCTGCAACAACCGATAAATTCTGCAAATAATATCCTTCTGCAGAAATGGTAATCTCTTACCCTTAATCCTAATGAGGAATAGTCAGGCATAGAAAAGATGTGCATTGTAAGTTTCTTTCCCTTTCATGGGTGTTTTGTTGTTGGCTTTTAAAGCTTGGTCGTTTGTAATGTGGATTCAGGATCGATGTACCACCAGTTTTGATTAATACAACTAAATTTTATAAAAAAGAAAAACCTTGAACTAGAGAAAAGTATCACGGCAACGTGCAGAGACACCAAAATACGAGAAAGAATGAGAACAATTCAAGACCTCACAAGCTCAAGATCTCATCAGACCTGACGTCGTTTCGGAAACCCGAGCTGTTCAGACCGAAGGCGTAAGTTCGAGCGATATCCAACGCGCCCTGAACCCGCAGCCTCGTCCCTTGTTGTCCGACGACCGTGGCAGCGGTTCTGGCCGCCAAACTTCCCGTCCCCTTTATGTCTGAGACGCCTCTCAGCATACCATACATGATTCCCGAAGCGTAAGCGTCTCCGGCCCCGCAAGTGTCGGTGGGCATGCATGGATAAGGCGGTATGTATATGGCCTCGCCTTTTACCCCGATGTACGACCCTTTATGACTGTCGGTAACCGAAACAAACGGGACAAAGTAACCGAAACAAGTTTTTCCAGCTTAGAACTTTCTTCCTTTGCAATGCTAACTTGACGTTCTGATTCCTCAAGATCTCGTTTTTGTTGTCCAATCGTCATCTCTAATAACTCTACCTTTTCTTTTAGCGTATCGTTTTCAGAATTTGCCTTATGCAGCAACTGATTGTTTTCCTCTAGTTGCTTCATAACAAACTCCATAGATTCTGAAGTAGATCTCTTCAATTTGTTCGATTCTTCAACTTGTTTTTCCAGTTCATCGGCCTTGTTCTTCCACTCTGCTGCTAAGTTATTAGCACAAGATTCAACCATTTTAGCAGCTTCTAGATCAACGTGAAGCTGTTCACTGGTACCTTCTTGTTCCTTCAGAGTTTTCTCAAGGATACCAACTTTTTCAAGCTCCCCCCTCAACATTTCAATTTCAGATTTCAGCTTGGACACCACCTCGTTTCCTTCTATAGCCACTTTTTCTTGCTTTGAACCAAGCAACGCCTTTAGCCGGCTTAACTCAGAAGAGAGAATCTCAACCTTATCTGCCTGAATTTCAGCGATCTTCGTCGCTTCCTCAGCATGGTAGAGTGCCTTGTTCTTCGCATCAGCAGTCATAGTCAATTCTTGTCTTACCATCTGGAGTTCCACTGTGGTAGAGAGGAGAGCCGAGATGTCAACAGTGTGCTGGTTTCTGATAGACTCAACCTCTTTCAGCAAGGCCTCTTTTTTTTTCTGAACAGCCTCGATTCCGGTCTGTTCCAGTTCAATAACTCGGAATTTCTCAATCTCAGAATCCTCCTCAGCTCGTTTTTGAGCTGCCAATGCCTTTTTTATTTTCTCATTGGCTTCTTCTGCCAGTTTCTCAGATTGTTTAAGACCATCAAGTGCCTGAGCTTTCTCTTTCTTGAGAAATTCTATTTGCTCATTGGCTTTCTTTAGATCTTCTTGAACTTGATTCAGTTGAGCCTGCAGGTCAGATAACTTCGCCAAACCCAACCGTGATTGCGCTTTCTGGATTATCACAACAAAACACAGATCATCTTTTTTCATCCAAGAAGAAAAACCCGGAAAATGTTGTAGATGAATTGAAAGCCATAGGCATACAACAATCGGTTTTTTACATCAGGGCATCGACCATATGATCTTGGGAAGTTCCATACATAACTTTTCCCGGTTTAGATTCATTCGTAATTCAAGAACTGCGCTCCCTAAAAGATATAATATCTCAAGGACTACATTTTTATCCCGTCACAGGCAAGCCCAAGATGATGAAAGTCAACTCAGAAACCCAAAACTAACAGCAACCAAATGGATGATTCGGGTTACTTGCCTCAGGTGGAGTAGGGACCCTGGCATTTCGACGATCACTAACAGGCTTCGAGCTAACTGATTGTGGGGATCGATCAAGCGAAAGACGCGAACTTGACACTGGGGACAGAGAATTTCCATCTGATTTAGCAGCCGACAGTTTACTCGCTGGGGGAGTTGGTGGGGAGGGTTTGCTCCGAGGAGTCTCCAACAACCCAGTTCTGTGACATCCTCGTATACATTCACAACAATGTCAGAAATTGATCAAAATGTCCAAATGAACATAAAGAAGATCAACTCCAAAGCTATCAAGCTATGGATCTACATATAACTTACCAAAGGAATAGCAATTATCTTAGGCAGTTACACAAAACAAACAGAAGGCAAAAACGGTAAGACATCACTTGATCTTTCTGCTAGGATCAGACACTGTTCATCTCAAGCTATGGATCTAATTCTCAGAAATGCATATCATGTGCATCCAAATGCATATATGGTGATGTTCAAGTGATCCAATAGGAAATTCTCACACAGTAGAATTGAAGGAAGTGAACGTAAATCTCAAAAAAAATCGAGTAATGACAAAAGCAAGACAATTTCACATTACAAATTCCGAAGGGGACTTTCGAAGAGACCAAAAGAAATGAACTTTCTTTTTCCAAGAGACTCAACCTTCTTCAAGATCCAAGCCCAAAAAGAAAATGGATGAATTACGAAAAAAAGCAACAAAAAAATGGATCATAAGTTATTTCCCGGATAAAAGTTGCAGTCAGTGAATGTGACATTCATCACATTCTGAGGAGGAAATCAGAACACAGAAATCTCATATCCAATTGTCATCGAAATAAAGAGAGATCGTTCCAAGTAAAGAACAAAATACCCCCTTGGTTCTGGATGCCATAGTTGCAGGAGGAGAGCTTCAGGGGAAGAGACGACACCGAATGGAGAAAGAATCAAGATTCAGAATAAAACCAAAAGGCCGAGGAATGAATGTTCGCCGCTAAATTTCCGACATGACCGCCAGACACTAACAAGAACCCAGATTGATTCTGGTCTTCTCTTTTTCTTCCTGGGTTCGAATTGATTGCTACTCCACAGAGTCTTGAGCTTTACCAGCGCCAAATACAAATATTTTTTTATATTCAACAACAACAACAAAAAAACAGGGAAGAGAGAGCACAAATAATTGCCTAATGGGTTACGCTGGGGTTTTTTACTCAAATGACCCAATTGGGTCGCATCTATTTCACGTGTACACCAGAAAAAACATAACACATTAATATTTTTTTAAAAGACGAAATTACCCTTAATGAATATACGATTTTTATCCGTTCGAAAACAACTTCGTTATTACGACTTCGTAATTAATTCTAAAAATGGTGGCAAAAAAGTTACAATTGATTCTAAAAAAGGTTCGCAAAAAATAAAAAGAAAAGGATATTTCAGACTTTTTCAACCGAAAAATGGGTAAAAATTGAAAAAAAAAATTGTTTTTTTTCGGTGGTGTACGCTGAAATAGGTGCGACCCAAGTGGGTCATTTGAGTGATTTTCCCCTTACGCTGTCTTCAGAGTGGTCACCATGTTAGCTTTTCTTTTACTTTCCTTTTCTCTGTTGTGATCTCTTTTCTTTTTTCTGAATTTAATTTACTAATTACATTACATAAATAATTTTTTAAAGACGAGATTAAAAAAAAAAGGGAAGAAGAGGGGGGTTTTAACCCTAATAACCCACTTGGGTCGCAACAATTTCAGGGTACACCACCCAGAAAAAAAAAATTTCAATTTTAACCCACTTTTCGATTGAAAAAGTCCAAAATACCCTTTTCGTTTTATTTTTTGCGACCTTTTTGCGACTAACATATAACTGATATACAACTAAAATAAGACGAATAACTTTTTTTGCCACCTTTTTATAACTATATTTAGAATTAATTACGAAGTCGTAATAACGAAGTTGTTTTCGAACGGATAAATATCGTGATTCATTAAGGGTAATTTCGTCTTTTTACGGAGAAAAAAATGTGTTATGTTTTTGGTGGTGTACAGGTGAAATAGATGCGACCCAAGTGGATCATTTGAGTGATTTTCCCAAGAAGAGGTGGGAGACAGAATGACGAAAATGGCCCTGGGTAAACGATTGATATAATGTTAAACGTACGTGATACCAATATTATCATAATAAATATTCGGGCGACCAAGAAATGTTAATTCCAAATTCGGTGACAACGAGATAGACATTTTCAGATATCACGCGCGATGCGAGTGATCATCAGCGGAGGATTTGAATAAATGGCGCGAGTTACAATCACAAAATAGATTTTTCAATATATTCCGACGATTTTTATATCGCAATTAAGTTATCAATCCGCTATGTTTGAACATGAGAGATTAGAAAAGTGGCACCCCACTACACTCTCTCATCAGAGCTACAACACTCGACCACGACCTCTTAGGGTAGTTTGGTCTGGTTTTGGTGGTTAGATAACGAGGTGTGTAGGATGAGTTCGATAGATGGGTGAAATTATGCTCGGATTGTTTCCACGTTATATATTTTTTAAAAATTATGCTCGGATTGATTCTTATTGTAGAGAGTAAAGTTGATTAAAATTGGTTATAGTTGTATGAAATAATTTCGTCTATGCGATGGAGGTCTGAATCGATCCAATATATATATGTATAAAGTTACTCCTAATTTCATCAATTCTAGCACCGGGAATTTGATAAAGCTCTTGAGAAAGAATCGAATGTAAGGAATACTCAGGAAAAAATAATCGGCCAGCAGTTGTCGGAGAATCCATTGATGGTTTCACAACATTCCTTCTTGACCCTACCGAAGTGGCCGAGGAATATGCCAAGGATGGAGCCGATGCATCCATCAAACGGTCTTGACCGCTTTCTAGCAACATATCCGTCGTCTCAGCACCATCCGGATCGATTCGGAGCAGAAAGTTCGGGTTTTTCCCGGTTTCTTTGGCCTGGAGTTTGATAACTTCACATAGTTATAGTTTCACCAAGTTAAGTTCCAAAAATGTGTGCAACTTTATTCTTCATGAAATCGAATTCTAGATTTCATTCGGCTTCTTCCATTTCGATTCGGTTAGAACACGAAATGACGATTGCTTGAATTTCATATTGTACAGGCATGTCTACGGTCGTACTCCCTAAATGTCTAAATGTCTGCATGTAAAGGACTCCGAAAAAGTTTGAGACGACTTTCTATAGTTCTTAACAAAATCCTTATATATTTTAACCTAACACGACATTATATACCATATAAATACATGGATTTATTATCTATTTTCAAATCAATACACTAAATTTAAAATTTTCAATACATATATATAAATTTATATATACATATTTTTTATTTTTATTTGGTATTGTTGGTAATGTTTTTGCATGATCAAACTTGATTTTGAGTGGTACAATGTTAACTTTTGTTTATGAATTTTAGGTTTGGTTTACATTATTCGAAAATCCAAAAATTTGGAGACATCCGACGTTTCGAGTGTTTGATATATGATATACTTGAGTCGACATTTTCTGACCGTTGGAGATACGAATCGATCCGAGATATATGTAAGTATACAAGTAGAAGAATAATAATAATAAAGATGAAAAGATAAGATTTTATAACATGTTATTATAAGCACTTGATTTGCTCTACAAAAGCATGCACAAGTTTTTTTGCTTGGTTATTCAATATATTATTAAAGGTACGACTAATTTCATCATTTGTAGTGCTCATATGATCGAATCGGACCGGACCACAGAAATTCAGTAACCTCGGGGCGATTCTAGCTGGGGATATTTGAGGAGGCACAAGCCCTTGATGAAGAATCGAATGTAAGGCATGCTCGGAAAAATAATCGGCCAGCAGTTGTCGGCGAATCCGTTGACGGTTTCGCAGCATTCCTTCTTGACATTCCCAAAGTGGCCGCGGAATATGCTAATGATGGACTCGAAGCATCCGTCGATGGTCTTGATGGATTTCCAGCAGGCCGCGGGATCTTGGGGTTGAGCGTTGGAACACGAATAGACCGACGAAAGAACGAGGCCGAGCAAAAGCAACATCTTCATCGTCTTTTGCTCCATCAGATTCGAATATCGGAAAGTTTTTTCGATCTATTCGTAGCTTTTTTGGTGTTGGTTTTCTGTTTGAGTATGGATGAAGAACTGAGACATCCTGTTAGGGTTCTTATACTTGGTATGTGGACGCGCTATACATTGTATGTCTCGCTTTTCTTTTCTTTTCTTTTTTTTTTGTTATGCATGAATTTGCCTTTAAAGCATTGTTTCCACAAATATTTTTTT